CCATATCAGAAGTTCGTAATCTGATCAAAACCATCCATTTCGGGTATGGATGGGGTTTTCTGCCAGTATGGTTCTGTCCTGGAGAGGAACTAATTTCTTGCCTGAAGGCTCCTTTCTTTCTTTTCTTTGTTTTATTCCTCTCATGAAATCCAGTCTGACTTCAGACTCACTGTGCAGCCAAGGATAACCTGGAACATTAAAAAAAATAATTTACTTTTATTTTGTGAGTATTTACATAAGTTATAAAGGATTAACTGGTCTTAAATGTTTGCAGTGAAAATAGGAACGGAGGGTGGCTGGAGTTATGTGGGTATAGAGCCGAAACCCTGGCTCTCTGAAAGGCAAAGGACTGACAAGCCATGACCTTTGTCCTCATGGAAACGTAATAAATCAAAGTCTCTTTTGCTGTTCCTTTTGCTCTAATCATACATACATAGAAAAATCTCTACCTGTTTAGAGAACCTGCCTCTAAGTTAGTGAAGCTCATGGGTACATCTGCTGAGTCCCTGTGCTGTAAAGCATTTGCCAGTCCATACTGGAAGGAGCCTGAAATTCTTACATTTTGGTTGTGAGCCTCACCTTAATGGCTGAGCTGCCTCTCCAGCCTGAAGACTGAAAAATCTAAATTCAGCAGGCCCCCTCGGCAAGTGAGATGCAACAGCAGGTACCAGGGGTACAAACTAGGATTGGGAAGGTGACAGGGAAGACTTGGGACGGTGCTGGGCTCTCTAGATCCTGGAAAGGTGGGACAAAAGGAACCTGAAGAAGCTCCCAGACAGTGCCCCTCAGTCGAAAGTTGGCTGTGTCACTGGTCATTGTGAGAGAGCCCCACGGGGAGGAAAAGCATGGACGATACAGACCTGGGTGCTGTGATGGTTGTCCTTGGTTGTCAGGTTGATTACATCTGGAATGAGCTAAAACCCAAGCGGCTGGATACATCTATGAAGGGTTTTTCTTAATTACAGCATTCAAAGTGGGAAGACCCACTCTTAATCTGGATCTTTTGAGGCGGGAAGATCCACCATTCATCTGGGCCATGCCTTCTAGTGGCAACCTATAGAAAGGACACTTGGCTTTCCCATTAAACCTCTCTGGGGAAACTCCTTCAATGGCAAACATGGAAGTGTGTCTCCCAGGTGGTTCCAAATCCAGCCAAGTAAACAGTGAAGATCAACCATCACACCCTGTGCTTTTCCGAGCCAATAGCAGCATTTGAAATGAAGGTCAGGAACTTCTCTAGAGCCTCTTTGGATATATCTGCAGACCTGTCGTGATGCAGCATGGTTGAAAGATGGGTGGGATGGGAGAGGCCGGCTTTCAAGTGCTCGTGACTTCACAATGGCATAATACCCAGTCACCCACAGCTACGTCTGTAAGTATAGCAACAGAACGCGGAGCTCTCCTGCTGAATCCTCAGCTTAGAAAAGCCAGGGGAACATGGAAGCCAAGAAAGTGAAGTGATGTTCCAAGCCTCATTCTCTTCCTGCCTGTCTCTCTTGCATGAAGACAGGGTTAAACAGAGGGTTGATTCAACTGATTTCAACCCACCCAATCATGTCATGCCCCCTCCCCCCCACACACACACAGCAAGCTAAAATCCAGAGGAGTGGCCTATCTTCTTTCTACACCTTTGGCCGGAGGTCATGGAAAAGTGAATACATTAAAAACAACAATAACAAAAAACCACACACACAAAATAACAAAACCCCACCTTTAACATACAGACATATGTTTTGAACATATGTTTTGAACATATGAAAATATGAACTTACAAAAGTATGAACTTACATAGTTCATATTTTATGCTGTTGTTAATATTTTACAATCTTGGAAAAGTTTTTATTAAAATTGAATATATTTACAGTATACCTACTCTGATATGTGTATATATAAAGCAAACTGTTACGGTAAGCTATTAGTATATCTGATTTTGTTTTGCATTTATATTATTTATTTATTTTACTTATGTATGCATATGGTCACGGATGTGGAGGTCAAAGGATAATCTGAGGTGCTCAGTTCTCTTCTTCTACCCTGTGGGTCCTGGGGACTGAACCAGGTTGTTGTGGTTTATCAGCAAGTGCCTTCCCCATTAACTCTATCCTGTCAGTCACATTTGTGTGTATATATGTATTTGGTGCAAACACTTTGACCTTTGTCTGCATATTTTGAGTGTGAAAACGTTAACTATAGGCCCAGTGCTGCCCTTTGGCTTTCTAGAACTCACACCCTCTGGTGAAAATCTCTCCCTCTCCGCCAATGCCTCCCCGTGGTGACCAACATTCTACTTCCCTGCAAAGTCAGCAGCCTTAGATTGAGAATGCGGAGGGCAGGGGAGCCCTGGGTGTGCCAGCATTACAGCTAGCTCATGGGCTCTGGTGGGATGATGGAACGCTTCCTCAATGGATTCGTGAAATCGCGACCTTATGGGAAGAGGTAAGGGTAGAAGGTAGAGCCTAATTGGAACTAGGGCAGTTCCTTGTGGGCATTGGATCCCCTGGAGCTTCTTTGTGGGTGATTATGAGCCATCACGTAGGTTCTGGGAATAAAACCTGGGTTCTCTACAAAGGCAGCCAGTGCTCTTAACTGCTGGGCCATCTCCCAGCCTTTGGTGTTTTGTTTTGTTTTAAATTATATGGTGGTGGTGGGCATGCACGTATGAGTTCAGGAGCCTGCAGAGACCAGAAGCATTGGATACCCCTGGAGTTAAAGTTATAGGCCATTGTGGGCCATGTGACATGGGGGCTGGGAACTGAACCTGGGTCCTCTGCAAGAACATCGTGTATTCTTAGCCATTGAGCAATCTCTCCAGCTCTGCCTCTGGGTTTCTTATGACTGCTTGTCTCTTTCACGTTCTTTTCTTTTCTTATTTATTTTATTTATTTTTTGGCCAGGTAAAGACTTTTATTAATCCCTCTCCAAATTTTATTCCCAGGCTTCTTCAGCTTAATTTGCTGGAAAGAATTAATTGTGTATAAGCAAAAACCTGAAAAGAGCTGCAGTGTCCAGGGAAGCTTGAGACCTAGACTTTAACAGATCCATAAACAAGAGAATTTGAAAAGCAGTCCTGATAGAGCCTAGCACTTTTACAAGTATCGCCACCTTCAGAAGTCGCGTCAGTTCAGTTGGCGTTGACTTAGGATTCTCATCAAAATTCTGCACCTGATCTGCAGCTTCATCAGCAGCATCTCTCCAGCAGCACGCGTGGGGCTTTTCTATCCAGACTGGGCAGAGCTTCACCATCTCCTTCCTCTAGGGAGACAGTCTGCTCCAAGCTGGTGAAGGATGCTGGGAAGTCTGTTTGTCACTGCTTTGTCTTAGTGTTAATGACCTGTAACGGTGCCGGTGTGTGCTGTGTGAAGGTGTGTGCTGTGTGCAGGTGTGTGTAGTGAGCCGGACAGGATCGCCATTACAAGATGGCGCCGACATCCTGTCTTGTTGGAAATAAACAACTCCATATTTGGCTCTGCCTTTGGGAGCTGCGTGTCCCCCACTTCCCGCATGCGCGGTGGATAAGGGTCCTTGGGCCTATCCCGATGCAGTCTGGTGTCAGTTGATGGTGGCAGCCAATTACAGGGCGACCCGTGTGCCAATTCCCTATATAAGCAGCTTCTTTAGTGCTCTTCGGCTCTCTCTCTCTCTCTCTCTCTCTCTCTCTCTCTCTCTCGTTTCCTGCCTCTCGCTTCCTGCCCCTCGTCTCCTGCCCCCTTTGCTTCATGCTCCCCTCAATCAAGGACACTCCAGTAAAGCGTGATCTGAGAAGAATCCTCGTGTGGTGGTTGTTCTTTCTCGCTGGTAGAGAAGTCCGCCGCAGGTGTGCACTGTGTCTTATGACTGCTTGTCTCTTTCACGTTCTTTTCTTATTTATTTAATTTATTTTTTTGGCCAGGTAAAGACTTTTATTAACCCCTCTCCAAATTTTATTCCCAGGCTGTATGCAGGTGTTTGCTGTGCACTGTGTGCAGGTGTGTGCTGTGTGCATGTGTGCGCTGTGTGTAGGTGTGCACTGTGTGAAGGTGTGTGCTGTATGCAGGTGTGTGCTGTGCACTGTGTGTGGGTGTGCACTGTGTGCAGGTGTGTGCTGTGTGCATGTGTGTGCTGTGTGTAGGTGTGTGCTGTGTGCATGTGTGCGCTGTGTGTAGGTGTGTGCTGTGTGTAGGTGTGTGCTGTATGCTGTATGCACTGTGTGAAGGTGTATGCTGTATGCAGGTGTGTGCTGTATGCTGTATGCACTGTGTGCAGTTGTGTGCTGTGTGTAGGTGTGTGCTGTGTGCATGTGTGCGCTATGTGTAGGTGTGTGCTGTGTGCATGTGTGCGCTGTGTGTAGGTGTGTGCTGTGTGCTGGTGTGTGCTGTGTGTAGGTGTGTGCTGTGTGCATGTGTGCGCTGTGTGTAGGTGTGTGCTGTGTGTAGGTGTGTGCTGTGTGCATGTGTGCGCTGTGTGTAGGTGTGTGCTGTGTGCAGGTGTGCGCTGTGTGTAGGTGTGTGCTAAGTGCTGGTGTGTGCTGTGTGAAGGTGTGTGTTGTGTATTATGTGAAGGTGTACACTGTGTGAAGGTGTGTACTGTGTGCTGTGTGAAGTTGTGCACTGTGTGCAGGTGTGCTGACAAAGACACCTGACCTCTGTTGTTAAAATGGGTCACTGCTCCTTAGTTCGTAAACAGGTTCACCTCTTCAGAACCAGAGATGTTGTTCACCCCTCACTTCTAAGGAGAACTGAAGTTTTTATCTTCTGCTGTGGCCGTTATGTGATCCACTTCCTTTCTGCAATCTTTCCGCCCCTATTAAGACACAGCTGTCCTGCAGTTGAGCGAGTTTTTCCTGGCTCATGATGGTTTCTTTCATCTTGCCAGGAACTAGGGTTTATACTCAGGGGGCTTTAGGCAGACCACCTGAGATAAGGCGCACACACAGGGGGATGCCAGATGGCAGCACATGTCTTTCATATTCTTATATCCTTATTCTAGGAGCTGGAGCAGAAATAAGAAGCAAAGGAAAGCAATTACTTTATACACGGCTTGCTTTAATAGCCATCAGAAAGACTGCAGAGTGTCTTCTCACCTGTCTACACATTACAGCCTGCAACACATGGCCAGAGCAACATAGAAATCTATATTATACATTTATACACACACCCACATCCTACAAGCACTGTGAAGACACACAGCCTTCAGGACAGAACAGCCCTCGCCCATGCCATTCAAAGAGGTACCGGTGTGCTGTATGCTAGACATTCAACAGGCTCCATGCAGCCTCCAGTCCCCCATTCCCCTGAGGATTATAAGGGACGGCGCACTTAAGGGAGCCAATTCAACTTGAGATCATATAAGAAACAGAAGGGGCTAGGCTAAGCAGTTGGCACCTACAAGTCACCACGTTTGATATGTAGACTCTGGTGTGGTGGTACAGACCAAAGTACTACCTGGCTTGACCCACAGGGCTGGCCTGGGTTAAGAGCGGGTTTGTGAGGGGAGCTTGCCGAGCCCCAACACTGTCCAGCAGGGCACTGTCGCCAGAGAGTGTGCTTTTACAGCTGTCTGAGGAGCTTCAGTGTTGGGACCACGCATCCCTTTGTGGGCAGCGAGGTCCTGGTTCCCCTGAGTTGGCGGTGCTGAGGACAGATGCTGAGGCAAGAACCAACAGGGCAGGTGCCATGCCGCCGAGGCTGTTTGGAAGCAGTGCCGCAAGGCCCTCTATGCAGTCTACATCAGTTTTGCTTAGTGCTGGGCCCAGTGGGCCTTGGTGAACCATAATCATTGTAGCCAGGATGCCACTCTCCTTCCTGTCTGTCCCATGTGGACACAGCTCTGAGCCCTTTTCCGGACCTCCAGCAGGGAGGGGTGGGAACAGGTATTCCTTAGCAGATGGGCAACTGCACAAGGCTGGGGCAGGCCCACCCTTCCTGCTGCTTTAAGAACCTCTGGCTTCGCTTCTTGTGTGGCTCCTGGAAGGCAAGGGTCACAAGGCTGAGGTGTGTGACCGAGCCCTGAAGGATTTCACCTGCAGATAAGAGGGAAACAAATCTAGTCAGAGCAAGCGGTCAGACCAGGCTGGAGTCTGGAGTGAGGGGCAAATGTGCTGGAAGCCAAGAGCCTGAGAGCTGGTTAGGAGGAGGAACATGGGGCAGGGAGTGCTGGCCTGGAGACTCCTGAAGCCTAGGTTAGAGGGAAGCCTTGCATATTCCCAGATTCCTGCTGCTTCCATCACCAGACTGAGTGGCTGGATCCCAGCACGCTCCCTTCAGGAGTCAGTTCATGCTCCAAAGCAAGTGGTCCGGCAAACAAACAGAAACCAAAGGGGTCTTTATATCTCTCAAGAAAAAAAAGCGCTGAGCAAGATATGAACACGCAAAACGAGCCCTCTGTAGAGGGGAGAGGGATCCAGCAGGAAGGCCTCTTGGTAAGTCATGTCCCAGTTATCAGAGAAAGGGTCCAGTCCCCAGGACCTCAGAGATAATCTAAGAAGAGTTCTAAGTCGGGTGGTGATGGTGCACACGCCTTTAATTCCAGCACTTGGGAGGCAGAGGCAGGTGGATCTCTGTGAGTTCGAGTCCAACCTGGTCTACAAGAGCTAGTTCCAGGATAGGCTCCAAAGCTACAGAGAAACCCTGTCTCAAAAAAACAAAAACAAAAAACCAACCAACAAACAAACAAAAAAAGAAAAGAAAAAGAAAAAAGAAGAGTTCTACCATTATAGACTTGGGGCAGCAGGCTCACAGAGAAGGGGCCAGCCAAAGCCACACAGCCAGTTAGTGACAGGCCTTGGGACTAAGTTAGGCCCAGGCCTGTGACCCTCCACAGGGGCCTGGGAACTAGAGAGGCACGCTTCCACAGGCTGAGCCAGTGGTGCCGGAGGCCATGGGTCGGTTACCTTTGCTGGGACAGGAATATGGCCGCACAGAGGCAATCTCGTAAGGGCCGTGCTACAGAGGCTCGGGAAAGAAGAGTCGTCAGAGAAGAATTAGACCAAGACAAAAGAGTGAGCTACACCAAGGCCCAACCCCCTTGCGCGGGCAGACATTGTGGCAGACGCAATTAGGAACTTTCTGGGCAGAGACTGGGCTGCTCTGGCTGTGTCAAGTCTATATTCAGAGAATAGGTTATGATTTCGAAGCCACATCATATACACACAGTTCTCCCTCACACTGCTTTCCCGAGGGAGGGCCGGCACTTAGCATTTGAGGTAACTGTGGAGAACACCTGCCAGGGATAGACATCTTTCCCCTTAGTGGGCAGGGTTTATTTTCAAGTTCTCTTCTAGATCCATGAAACTAAACCAAGATCATCCGGGACCTTTAAAGGCAAGGATACTCCCAACCTCGCAGCAATCATGGCGGAGGCAATTTGTAAGGTTCTGTCTACGTTGTTTGTATTTTCCACAGAGCCTTTTAGGGAACTCACAGGGCACAACTGGCCTCTGAGGCAAACTCCAAATGTCCCTGCCCTCAGGGGTCACCTGCGCTTTACTTCCCAGCCTCCTCACCCCACATAGAGGACAGAGCTTCAGTGAAAGGGAGAGAGGGAAACAAGATGAGGGCAAGCAGAGGGGCCGAGGAGCAAGGTAGGGTCGGGTTTGCTGGGGGGGCATGGCCTACACTGGACCAGCAGGCTCTCAGAATATCAGAGCTAGCCAGGGGCCCCACGTGACCAGAAAGCTCTCAGAATATCAGAGCTAGCCAGGGGCCCCACATGACCAGAAAGCTCTCAGAATATCAGAGCTAGCCAGGGGCCCCACAGACACGTGGCCAGAGCTGTGGGTTAAGGACAGGCTCTGTGGTTAAGTGCTGCAGTGTTGCCTTTACCTCTAAGTTAGTCCGTGCTTTCTTCAAGACATCATGGGTTCTGGTCACTGGAAACATAAAACAGCCCCACAGTATGGAAGTTACCAGTTGAGTCTGACTTGCTCGGCACATGCATCCTAAACCACTTTCTCTGCCACTCAGTGTGTGTGGTCTGTTGCTAGCCACACCCCTTCCCTCTGTACCCACCATTGCTCATCAGTGCCCCCTAACATTCCCGAGTCCCTCTGGTCACTATTGATCAGCTGCAAGGTCGGGTGTCTTGGAAGAGCCCTCCCCACGGGTCCTTCAGGGACACCTACGGTGGTTCACGATGTACTGTTCCATGATCTTTTTCTTCTGCTTAGCCGTCTTCAGACGCTCGTTAGTTCTCTGGAGGAGCTGTTCTTGTTGGGACACTTGGGCTCGCAGATCCAGGAGTTCCTTCTCTATCAACTGTCCCTGAGGAGGAGGGATAGATTCAGACAATCCCCCTATGGCTGAAACGCACGCTGTGCACGCGATGGTCGAGCGGAATGCTACCGTTTTCTCAGTCTTTTTGTATTGAATTCCCTCCTTTAAAACCCCTCAAACCTTAGCCAGGCAATGATGATGTACATCTTTAATACCAACACTTGAGATGCTGAGGCAGATGGATCCCTGAGTTCAAGGCCAGCCTAGTCTACAGAGTGAGTTCCAGGACAGAGATATGCAGAGAAACCCTGTCTCGAGAAAAATAAAATAAGGCAAAATGAACAAACAATATCAAAACTCTCAAACCCCAGCTGAAGACAGCTGAGGACCAGGCCACCAGAGAGACATGGAAAAGCCTGCTGGAGAGAGCCTCTCTCTAGGTCAGCACTAAATCTCAAATGCAAGCAAATGTTCTGTTTGGTCCTGTAGAATTTCCTTAACTCCTCATCGTAAGTGACACTTAGGAGTTCAGGGATGTTCTATCTGAAGAGATGGGGCTGGCCAGAGGACAGTGGGAAACTTTGCAAATATCTTCCACTGTGGTGACATGAAAGCACCTTGGATTAGCATATCTGAGTCCACAGACATCAGGAACAGTTATCTGCAGCTGGAATACCGCTGTGTAAGAGTCTGCCAACCACAGCCCGCCAGAGAGGCAAGCAGACCCCAGGAGGTGGCTGGCTTCCCCAGGCCTGACCCAGAGACACAAACTTTAAAAGCTGTTGAGTCTCCAGACCACAGCTAAAAGAGGCTCTCATGCTCATGGTGACAGTCTATAATCTCTTGGCCAGGCGGACCTTAGGGGTGGAGGAAGAGCGCCATATTGTCAACAGGTCTCTTGATCAGCTCAAACATCAAGGTATAAGACCTGGAAATATCTGAAGCTGAAGCGGTTGGGAGCAGGGCCATACTGGCATGAAAAAGGCAGGTTTCAGCCAACCAAGACCCAGCCTCTTACCGCTTTGCCTACCAGTCCAGACCCAGGCGAGCTTGGCAAGGCTGCTCTCCAGAACATGGTGAGGAGAGATGCAGACTCTTCTAGGGTGTGGCTCAGAGCACTGGCACTGCTCCGCAGCTCCTGGACACTTTTGTTACCTGGTACCTGGGAAAAGAGGACAGGGTAGCCATGGATCTCCCAGGAACTGGAGCATCCCATCACTCCCAGCACCGGGCTCAAGCATCCCGTGTGAACGAGCCCAGCACACAGGCCTGCTGCAAACCCTGGCTTTACCCTACAGTTCCAGGACAGCTGGTCTCTGCCTGAAACCCTTCTTGTATTCCATCCTCTATGAAACTGTGCCTTGCTTGTCTGACATGCAATTACAGACGACCGTTCCTCACACTGTGCCTGTCACACCCTTTTGTGCATATCAATAAGAAACTCTATCTTGCTCCTTGGTAGAGGGTCCTCATAGACAAGGCTGTCCTATGCAGGCACCCACGAGTGGCCAGTGTCTCAAACAACATCGTCACTTGTGCCTGCTCCCTCTTAACAACCGAGCACACTGAAGAGCTTCACTGGCTGCCTCCCCTCCTGTGCTCAGTCTGAACAGGGTATTAAGTGCACTACCCTTCCTATACACGAGTTTGTGTGGCTGCCTGTCCACTGGATTGACTTTAATCTATCTAGGCGAGGCTTTATGCCAGCATTCCTAATCTATATAAGCTATCAAAGTTGCTACAAAACAGTGGGCATGGTATGTCAGCATTTTACAAGTGCCCTGTTATAAAACACAGGGTTTTCTGGGGCTCTCAGTCAAAGCATCAAGTTACCCTGATCTGTGGCAGAGTGAAGATGGGAGACAGGAAAGAGATTCTGGCTGAATAAACCTAAGTCACTTGTGAGTGGCTGGGCGATGTAAAGTGTAGAAGGAAGGACTGTGCAAAGAGAGTCCCCAAGAGTGTCAGATTCTCACCTCTGTGCCCTGAGCTTCAGGTCCAGGGATGTTGCACGCTGGCCTCGCAAGAGACAGTATCTTTTGGACCAGGAGCTTGCCTTGCCTGATCTGCTGCTGTAGAGCACTGTAGTCATCGACATGGCCGATGACGTGTCGGCCATGTTTGTTGGCAAAGGCGCCATCAATAGCATCGCCCTCCAACTTGGGAGGGTCCTTCATTGCTGCAGAGTCATCTGAACCTAGCTCTGACGAAGAAACAAAATAGAGTCCATTGCTTTCCCTAACAACAACTTCAGTTCACTCGACTCCAAAGGGACAATGAAAGAGGGAAGAAGCTGGCCAGCCTTCAGTAACACAGGATGGTAGAGTTCACAGAGCAGTCTACGTCAACGTAGTTATAATTAATCTTGTGTCACTTTGTTAGACACATCCGAGCTGAGGTAGTGCTGTCACCAGACAGAATTTGGAATTGTCTGGGAGGTGGGCTTCTAAGCATGCCTGCTGTAAACCATTTTGATGGCATTAACTTATGTGGGAAGACACAGTTGTGGCCGACCCATTCCCTAGACGGGGTATCCTGAGATGGATGAAGTGGAGGATGATGGGAAACCTCCTTCAGCCAATGACCTTTAAGAGGCTGGGGCATGACTTTTTGGGTACCCAGAGAAAACTGCTGCCCACCTAGCTCTTGCTCTCTTGTCCCTACACTCCACACCTTGAGGTGGGACCCCTATTCCTGTTCCGTGAGTTTTTCCCTTACAATAAAGGATAATCTTGGAATCCTTTGGAGTTATCTTGGGATTATTTGACCGGCGTTTCCCACTCCCCGACCCCCGTCCTTGCCGCGTTCAGCTTCAGGAGAAGGCATGCTAAGCACTGGCATACGTGTGTTCACTGCTCTCTGATTCTGGTGCCAGATGCTATGTGACAGCTCTGTTGGGTACCCAGAACTTCCTTGTCATGATGGGGGTGCAACCTGCAGCTGTGAGCCAGAAGCACCCCTTTCTCACTCACACTGCTTCTCTCTGGGAACTTGGTCAAAACAACAAAAAAGATGCTACGACATTTTCAACAGGAAAACCATGAAGGATAAATACTGTCAGTGAGCAAGTTTCTGGGTAAAGGATGACCCGGAAGTGAAGCTGCTGGATACAGAGGAGGAGCCCCACTCTAGAACAGAGCAACGAGGGGACAAGAAAGGAAAACCGGAGCAGCAGGGAAAGGACAGGGAAGAGAAAGGCAGAGGATGGTGCACCGGCAGGAGCCAGCCCGAGACAGACCCCTAGACACAGGGGCTGCCTGATCCAAGAGTCAGCCAAGGGTTGTCTGCATCAGCAGCTTTCCATCATCATCTGAATCTTTTCACTGCTGTATTTACCATTTGTCCTGGTGATGGTGGCAGCGTCTGAGTCAGGACCAGAGCAGGAGGAGCTGGGGAGGACCGTGGCGGGAGAACTCAAGCCAACATCCCGGACCGGAGGGGAAGCAGTTGAACCTAGGAAACAAAACAGCAGCCATGTCAGGTCTGCGGACATGCTACAGACTGAGCCATGTGACACACGCATGACCTCAGAAAACCAGCACCCATAGGCCACAACATGGAGAGTTGGCAAAGAATTTCATGTGCACTCCTGAGGAGGGTATGTTTCAGAGAATGTCATTACTAGTTGAAAAGATTGGTAGGCATTTTATAAGCCCAATTTTGGATATAATTGTCATGCAGAATCTAGTACAATGCCTTGAATGGAATATGGTTACGCAGAAATGTACATAGTATAGATGTTACATGCTGAGTACGGGCATAGAGAGAGGCTCAGTGGGAGAGCCCTTTCCCCAGTCAGCAGTCTGGTTATTATCCTGCCCACTAGCGCAGCAGAGTCCAGTCCATTGCTCCTGATTGCTCCCTAAGCACCTGATCCTGGCTCCTAGCACGAGTGACCCTTGTTTGCCTATTAAATGTCTTGGGACTCCATTTTCTCATAGGAAATACAGAGATGCGGGGCTGGAGAGATGGCTCAGAGGTTAAGAGCACTGACTGTTCTTCCAGAGGACCTGAGTTCAGTTCCCAGAAACCACATGGTGGCTCATGGCCATCTGTAATGAGATCTGGTGCTCTCTTCTGGCCAGCAAGCATACAGACAGACAGAACACTGTATACATAATAAATAAATATTTTTTTTAAAAAAAAGAAATACAGAGATGGGTAAAATGCCCTATTTCAGTGAAATTGTATATTTGAAGACTCCTGGTAAATTCTAAAGCACTATATACATAGGAGGAACCAATTCTTTTTGTTCCAGACCCTTGGCAATTACTTAATGCTACAGATAACCATACATGCTATCTCTTACCAGTCCCATTTTCAAGTGGAGTAAATTAAGAGTTAAACATTTGAGAATTTAAATACTTTGCCCCAAGTGGATAACCTGAAAGTAGCAAACTAGGAACATGGAGGCAGGCCTGATCCTGAATCCCGGGTTGTCACTCATGAGACCGTGTGAAAACATGTCCTGTCTCCGCCTGAGCGGGCAGAGCAGTTCAGCAGGACTGTCCCTTGTGCCACAGACATCTCCCCGGGCGGGAGCTTCTGCTCCCCTCTCTTTCGTACCTTGAAAGAGAGGCTGTGTGTGTGCAGGCTCCATGTCAGCGGAGACGTTCTGGCCGACAGAGGAGGGGCTGAGAGTGGCTTTGCCAGCACCACGATCCAGCTGCTGTTCCAGCTGCAGTCGTAGACCGTTGTTCACTTGGATGATCTGCTCCAGCTGGGCTCTCAGGGCCCGTATCTCTGCCACCAGGTAGCTCAACTCACCGGGGACTTGGCAACAGGAATCTAGGCTGAAAGCTGAAAGAAGAGAGAGGGGGACATAGCATTACTGACCATGGATTTCCATGTAATAGTCAGAAGGCTTCTCTGTGACATTCCTTCCTGCCAAGGGCCCCACTGGAGGCGTAGGAGTTTGGCCACAAGTCTGTGAGACACAACCATTCTCATAGGGCACCAGGAGCAGAGCAGGGTGGTCTGTAATGAGCCTGGAATTCCCCTGAGGGTCACATTAGTCAAGCATGCCTGTGGGGCATTTGGACTGGCAGGTGAGAATCAGCATACAGTGTCTCCTGCAGGCTCTAAAGCAGGTCAGCACTGAACTGGAAAAGACTGAAGGAGGAGGGAGAGGGAGATTTGATGAATGCCATATTCGGAGAGGAAAAGCAGGAACACATAGGCCTCTTGGCAACAGGAGAAGGGAAGGCAGGAACCTTAGACCCGAGTCCAGAATTCCTAGGTGAATGTCCACCTTCTTCATGCTTCTCATCCCCGCTTTACCACATGGAAGGTAACTTACCACGTGTATTTCCACATGCAAAGATAAAAAGAGCTAATAAACAGCTCAGAATTAGACATTTCTTACCGGAAGACCTGAGAGCCACTTAGATGTTGCAAGACAGAATTAGTTTTGGATTTTACCGAGACCGTACACCTTCTGCTACCTATCCTGCTGCAGCTAGCTCATAGCTCACAATTCTCTCTGCCATGAGCTATGTGAACAGCCAAGCAGAGAGAGACTGAATATTTTGAGTATGTTTGTCATCAAATGAATATGTGGAAGAACCTATGATTTAGCTACCTTGCTGGATTCTGGCATTCAAAATCAGGAATTCTGGAGCATTAGCGGATTTGAAATGAGCTCAGGAACACCTGTGCACCAAGAGCACCGCATGAGAGGATGCACACGCACCGCATGCATGTGTGTGGGGGATCAGGATGAAGTTGCTTTGTAGATAAAGGTTCTATTACACTTTCTCTTTCCCTGGTTCCAAATTCTCGCTAACTTTTGCTTGCTTTTGGAAAAGCCTTCGCTCGCTGCCCTTTATCTTCCCAATATCACTGTATCTTTTTAATGATAATTTTTAAATTTTGAGATTATAATACAGTTATTCATTTCTCTCCTTCCCTTTCTTCCTTCCAATCCCTCTCGTGTGACCCACCTCCTCCAGTTCATGGCCTGGTGCTCTGCTTGGCTCCCATAAAGTTACTTGTCCTTATCTGTACATGTTTTCAGAGCTGACCGTTTGATGTTGGATAACCAGTTGGCAGGCTCTTCCCTGGGGAAGACTATTTATTTCTCCCTCTTTCAGCATTCCTTAGCTACCTGTGGCTCTCTGTTCAGGGCTGAGGCCTCATGACTTTCTCCCTTCCGTATGAGCATTTGGGTACTTTATCTCCTCAACTGACCCTTATCTGTTCACCTAGAAAAGTCTTTACGATTCATCCACGAGGCGCCCCAGATAAAGGTCTCCTAACTCTAGTATGTCCCACCAAACTGCATCTTTTTTTTAAATTTCATTTTTTTATTGTTTTTAATTGATCTATATATTTTTCTCTGCTCCCCTCCCTTTTTCTCCCCTCCCCCTCTACCCTCTTCCATGGTTCTCATGCTCCCAATTTACTCGGGATATCTTGTCTTTTTCTACATCCCATGTAGATTAGATCCATCTATGTCTCTCTTAGGATTCTCTTATATTGTCTAGGTTCTCTGTGATTGTGAATTGTAGGCTGGTTTTTCTTTGCTTTATGTCTAAAAGCCAATTATGAGTGAGTACATATGATATTTGTCTTTCTGGGTCTGGGTTACCTCACTCAATAAGATGTTTTTCTAGACTTATCCATTTGCCTGCAAGTTTTAAGATGTCATTGTTTCCAAACTGCATCCTAAAACTCTGTTTTCAACATGGAGCTCTCTTCTTTGAAAGTAAACCCTGGTCTTGATCTTTACGTTTTCTGTCTGCCAGCAGCTGCCCTTTCCACCCTCTGATTTCATACTCCTCTAGTACCAAGGGGCTCCCGCAGGCAGAAGGACCCACTGCACCCTAGCTCTGGGCTTCAGCCATTCATTCCAGCCTGATGCATTCTCTATAATTCAAAGTTCTAATTCATTTTCTCTTCAGCAAATTAAGGCGCTAGATCCAGCTTTAAGAAATTCAGTTTTGGGCTGCTGGTGGTGCACACCTTTAATCCCAACACTCAGGAGGCAGAGGCAGGCAGATTTCTGTGAGTTTGAGGCTAGTCTGTAAGGAAGGAAGGAAGGAAGGAGGGAGGGAAGGAGGGAGGGAGGAAGGAAGGTTTTTTGGATAAAGTCAGATCACTGTGATCCTGAATCCTTATAGGAAGGTAAGGCCTACAAGGCCAAGGGATGAGCCAACCTGGAGTCTGCCTGAGGGCCTAGCAACAGTTCCTGTCCTGATCATGCCTAGCCAATGATTGACCAGCACACAATATCAAAGGATGGGAACTCAGCCTGGGTGCTGGGAGGAGGATATAGAAGGCTCTCCCCATTGCTGAATAAATGGGTCTGCTTTGCCACTTACCTGACTCCGGGGGTCTGTGCCATTGACTCTGTACCTTCTCATCCCTTCCCTAAGGGAGCCCCTGCCTTCATTGTGATCCCCATGGTGCCAAGTCCCCCACAAACTAGCTGCATATAAGATGTGGCCTCACCACATGGACATCTTGTCCACACCACCACAGTTTCAGGGTGAGTGGGGCTAACAACAGCCTTTGCCCTACACTGTCCTTGTATAAAAAAGATTCTACCAACTTGCCTGCCTTCAAAACCATGAGCAGCCTCAGCGCCAGGCCTCCCGTTCCATGCTTTCACCATGATGCTTTTCTTCAAGCTGGTGATTTAAGTGTTTGTCTTTGCTGATCATATTACCTGATGTCAGCCCTGTGATTACCTGTTTATAACATAACTCATTATACCTTTCTCCGTTTGACCATTTTATATGATGCGGGCCCTATTATATAACCTGTTATAACTCATTAACATAATGTAACTCAGACCTTTCTCCGTCTGAGTAGGGAAACATACTTGGATTCTTAAATACTAGATTTTTATTTCAGTAGATGAAAAAAAACTGCTCAGTAATTACCTAATATTTAAACCTAGACTTGAAATGTAAGACCTATTAGTGGTGTTTCATTAGGTATTGCTTTTCCTTTGGTTTTGAGTCAGTTTCTCCCTGTGGGAAGGTGTAGTAATTAGGGCTGACAGTGATCTGTAAGTTTTTTCCCCTTTAAATAAATACCACCCTATTAATCATAATTCCAAACTGGTGTGGCATTGTTTATGACTTACGCCTTCAGGAAGGGAGGTGGGTAGACGCCCATTGTCCAGGTTGCCATGTTTGTTTTTACCACATTTAAAATCTTTTCAGTGACAGCCCAAGGACATTACTCTATTAAAACAAAAACATGCTATAATCTTACCTTGATTAGATTGTTTTTGACTATTTAAGTGGGTGAAGTATGATCCTTGGGGTCTGTCCTTAAGAGCACCCAGGCTTGGCCCACTCATGTCAACAGCCCCCCCAGCCTTGGGCTTGGCAGAGAAGAGGCAGAGAGTCCTCGTACCTTTCATGCCCGTCTTAGGGTTTCCGTAGAGTGACTCGTAGATCTGGAGCTCTGACTGCAGGGAGGCCGAGAGCTGCTGCTTCTCTTCACACTGCTGTTGCAGGAAAGCCAGCTTGTGCTGCAGCCTGCCAAGGAGAGGCAAGAGTTCGCCGGGCCATGTGGGGGACATGAGCTGTGAGCCAGCCTGTACCTGAGGCATCTTAGTCCCAGATATCAACTCTGGGGTGGGGTGGGGTGGCCAGCACTTTCACTTAGCAGAGTCTGGGCAGGTCAAGCAAATTAGCTTGAAGTCCAAGCATCAGCTCCCTTTGCTGGCAGCAGTGAAATCACCTCACAGGTCTCTCACTAGCTCTACAGTGTTCTCCATGCTGAGAGACAGACACAGGGTTTCTACTGGCATAGCAACTTAGAGCTTTTGGAGAAAGTGATGTCCTGTATCTAACAAGAAGCATGGGAATACTCTCTTGCCGGTCTCCAACAGACTGAAACCTTCATAATAGGACTTCACCTCTTGACCTTGGAATACCGAAAGTTATTCTTTTTGCTCAAAGTGGGGTCTTCCTTTTGCTCCAAGTGACCACTGTGGCAGGAACAGCGAGGGGAGACAGTGACCACGGTGGCAGGAACAGCGAGGGGAGTCGGTTTTCCAAAGGAAGAAACCACTGTTTTGTCAGTCTCACTTCTGCACTGAAAGTGGGGCCTTCCTTATCAAGGCCCCGCCTACCTGGAGTCCTTTTCCTGGAGGGATAGCCTCTCTTCCCGGAAGTGCAAGATCTCTTCCTGCTTCTCCTGCAAGTCTTCCAGCAGCTGCTGCCGCTCAGCCTTCTGCTGCTCCAGCTCTCTCTCCAGCTCCTGAAGCTGGGCTTGAGAGGCAAGCAGAGCCTCCTGCAGGCGCTCCAATTCCTGGGAGTGTCCTAGTGAGTAGGCCACAGGGGTAGTTATGTCATGGCCTAAAGCTCAACGGAAAGTCAAACCCTAAATACATGTGAGGCCGGGCGAAGAAAAGTCCTGGGCGGGGGCAGTCTGACTTAGTGGACACCACATCCTGCGGGGTGGGGGTCTCTTTCCTAGTGGTGTCTGACCCTCTGTGTAAACACATCTGCCCTTGCTTTGAGGGAAGGCAGCATGTTCCTAAAGGCCAGTGCTTTCTAGGCGCCCACAGCAGCTGCTCAACTCTCTACCTGCAGTGTTATCAAAGACCAGCACTGATTTCTTGTTTATGGTTTTCAGAATATATTTTTGTCACCATTTTGAAAATTGGGACGTTTGGTGTTTTTTGACCATGTGACATTCTTGAAGAGGATCTACAGGGACTCTTCATCTGAGGCTAGTCCATGACAACAAGTGTATCCATCTCTTACTATGTCTCACCACTGAGGCTGGTCTCCTCTCCCAGCATGCACTGGAAGATTAATCTCTCTGCCTCCCCTCATCCATCAACCTTAATTCTGTCCTGGGCCTTGCCTCTCAAATCTCTGTGTACTGGAGAAATAGCTCTTCTTGCCTTTTGCCTCCATAAGGATTCCTTCATTCTGGACTTAATACTCTCATATATTGTTCGTAGCCTTTTAATAGCCTTTCAAAGGATATTTGTAAATAAAAATAATGTGTTACTAGTCAGATACTGGTTTAATCGGGTCAATTAATACTAAAGTAATTTACCTCCCAGGCCACATGGGAAATGATGCCCACTTATAGATGATGATTAAGAAGGGTTGGAAAAGCCTTAGAGGACATGGAGACAGGAGGACCACCGGAGGGCATCCCTAAGTGAGGGAGGTAGTGAGAAGGCCGAGGAATGGAGAACAGGACCCAGACAGCTGCCCACAGCTGTACTGGTCTGGAGGCGTATGAGAGATTACAGGCATGTACACTATCTGTTGTTATGGATCCCAGTATCTGTGAGCAGGTGGAAGGGGGCAGATTCCAAACCAACAAGACAGCTGGGTAGACAGCTAGCTGGATGAATGTGGTGCGCTTTAAAAGGCATGGGCTTCCTAGAGCCATTCAGTCCCAGAACCTAGCAGCCTAAGGTCCAGGGTTGGGCTCTCTTAGGGCAGTGGTTCTCAACTTCCTAATGCTGTGACCCTTTCATACAGTTCCACATGTTGTAATGATTGCAACCATAAAATTATTTCTGTTGCTACTTTATAGCTATAATTTTGCTACTGCTATGAACCATAATGTAAATATCTGTGTTTTCTGATGGTCTTAAATGACCCTCGTGAAACGGTTGTTTGACCCCCAGAAAAGGTCTCACACATTGAGAACCATTGTCTTAGGGAATAGCCCCTTGTAGACAGATTAGTAATGTAAATCTTGGACTGGTAAATCTGGGTAGCTGTTCTATCAGCCTTCTCTTTGCTTTTCCAGCTGGTGATCATCCTGGCCAGGGTAGACACAGACCTAGGAGGAACTATAGCTTGTGATTTTGCACAACCCACCTCTGGAAGCGTGACTGAGCTGAGCCTGCAGGCTTTGGTTTTCTTCCCTTAGGGCTCTGTTTTCATTGTAGAGTTGAGGCATGGACTCCGGGCCCTGACTGTAGAAGTGAGAGGTGGAACCTGTCCCAGAAAACACATGTATGTCCCATGTAACAGATGCTTTTCCTTTCCCCCAAAGATCTGCTGTCCTGACCCAGCAGAAATCTGCGACCCTCAAGGTGTGGGATTAACTTGAGCACAGTGGCTGATGCAGAGTGATACGTGTTGGTTCTCAGAGCATGCATTCTTGTGTGTACCTAGTATGTGCAGGCATAACAATTGTGTAGGAAGCTTCTTCTCCCTCACTGACTGAGGTTGCTGTGTAGAAGGGCCAATCGCATATATGAAGGGTGACCTCCAGATGACAACATTGGCAGGGGTCGGGGCGGGGGCGGGGGACTAATGGCCTCCTAAGTGAAGTGGGTGGGAGTAGCTCTTCATCAACCTGCCTTACTGCTTACCAGTCACAAGGACACAGAGAACCAGTCAGGTACATAGAGATTAGGGACAAGAGGCCAGAGAAAGTCAGTCTCTGAACTCAGACACATCCGACAATACTGTGGCAACCGAGTGAAGAAAAGAGCATTGGAGGGCTTAGAGCGCTGTAGAGCTCTGCCTAGGGACTGTCGGCTCAGTCGGGACAGAGGCTGGGCCTCGCCTACCGCTTTCCCGGGCAGTGGAGCTGAGCCTATGCTGCAGCTGTTCCCGCAGCCGGTCGTTGACACAAATGGACTCCTCCAGGCGCTGGCGCAGGTTCCGGATCTCACCAAGATGCTCTTCCAACAGGTCGGCCCCTGCAACCATCCCAGGACAAGGCAGGAACTAGAACGCTGGCTACTAGGATAGGTGAGCTCTACTAGAGCATGCTCAGCCTGGCCCTAATATCACCTTCCTTACGCTCACGGTGTTTTCCCACCCAGGCAGCTTTGCTTAAGAAGAAGAGAACTCCTCAAGCACAGGATGGCCCCTTGCTAAGGAGAGCCCGCAGACCGCCATCCATCTACCGTAAAAAGGGAGCTATATATCACTTAGAAAGTAACTGACAGTTGGGGCAGTTAAGAGCACTGACTCTTCTTCCAGAAGACCTGGGTTCCATCCCCAGCATCCACATGGCAGCCCACAACTGTCTTTTATTTAAATTTTTTTAAATAGATTTTTATGGAGCTTTACATTTTTCTCTGCTCCCCTCCTGCCCACAGCTGTCTTAACTTCAGTTCCAGGGGCCCGACACCCACGGCAAAACACCAATGCACATAAAAAAGAAATTAAAAAAATAACAAAATAACTGACAACCCTAACTGACCTGGCAAGGTGTGCCCACCTCTTGGGTGTGGTTGGGGGGGGGGGCGGTGACCGAGAAGGTCTTACTGTCCTTTCAGCCCCTTTACTCTTACTGATATATGATTTGACAGTTCTCAGCAAAATCCATCCTTTCCCACCCAAAGGAAAGCCCTAAGGTAAAAACTACATGCCCTCAACCTACCTGTCATAGCTAGGGACCAATGCTTGAGGCTTCCCTGCATCACTTTTACTAAGACAGGAATAAGGAGTCCCCTGCATGGCTCTAGGACCCAGAAGAACCCAGAAAAGTACTCTCCAGTTACAAGCAGACCCTTTCACTTTAGGCTGTCTCTTGGGAATTCAGTTTCCTACTGTGGGAACTGAGCTCCATCGTGCTATTTGCCCCCTGAGCTACAACCCTCCACTTGGTATGATGGGGTTTTGTGCACAGGACATATTTGAGGGATGGAGAAGTTGTATCCTGTCTATATTTCCCTTCTGAAGAAAGCAAGTCCCAGATCTGTGTGTTACCTGTGGGTTTGGAGTTCAGCTGGTACAATGAGGAGCCTGAGGACAGGTCCCCAGAGATGCTCCCTTTCTGAGGCCTCATCATGTCCCACTGGCCGCTGCCACCCAGGTAGCTAGGCTCTGGGATTCCGCCCAGCTCTATGATGCCCCTTGCAGGAGAGTGGGGCTGAGCGGGGTTGAGGTAGCGGGAAGAGCTAGCTTCTGGATGGCTGCTCAGCTGTGTGGCCGTGGAGGCAGGAGGAGCCATGCTAACACCTGGACAGAAGGAAACACAAGGGAGAAACGAACGGTATCAGAAGCCAAGAACCGTGAGGACACTGAGAGCACTGAGAAGAGAGACTAGCGGTGGATATGAGGGATGTCGGTAACCCAGTTCATCGCAGGGTATGGGTTCGGTGAAAACTCAAAACCTTAAGCCTGACTTTCCCCATCTGCATTTCCTAGAGTGAGACGCCGAGAGGCAAAGGATAATGAGAGATCTGAAATCACTTGGGCATGCAAAGGAAAAGCTCAGGGCGCCATTTCTGAGTCCTACTGATAGGTCCTTGTGATAGAATTCAGGAAAGTTCTGGAAGTAGGAGTCATTCCAAAGTTAGGGGTAAAGAATGTGCTGGGCTCTCTGACTGGTCACACCCACAAACGGGAGTATGTATCTGCCTGCATTCGCCATCCCCAGAGCGAAACGTTAGTCAATCTTTGCATGCCTCCTTCAGGGAGACGGGTATAAAATCCAGTTAGATGTTTCCAGATTAAAGAACTCTTTGCTTGGGTTGGGAAAACCCTGTAAGGAAAGTTGTGATTTGAATCTCTCACCCCCGCTCCAAGATTTGACACACTACAGTGTGTCATCCAACCTTAAAGAATCATCAAACATGTTTCAAGGAGGATGCTGGGGCCTCTTCTGTCCTAGGATGATACTTTCAGAGACCCTATGTGACCACAGGTATCTCCTTGCGCCCCTCAAGCAGTGGCAAGCGTTCAGTGAAATCCTGTGCAGCCTGTGTCTGACCTCTCTTGAGGGTGTCTGAAAGGAGGGTCCCTACGCAGAGTTTATATTCCTGCTTCTGTTTTTAAAGTCTAGATTAGGGAGCGGGTGCAAAGAGGAGCACAGGACTATAGTTCAGACCATGTGGTGGGTTGGTTTCTTCCAATGATTATCAACACGGGGCAAAGAGACAGGCAACTCCCTCTAAGCAAACAGGGATGAAGAAACGAGTCCATCATCTCCTCCAAGCTGTTCAGACTCTGAGCGAGGATTAGTATAAGGGCTATTTGGCCAGCTTTTATCCTCAGTTATAACTGCTTCTCTGATTGGGCTACATGCTAGAATCGCCCGTGGGAATGTAGACACACACACACGCACACACACTGTTTTATGCACAGGAGTCTCCTATTCTTTCATGAAGATCTGTTGACAACCATGAAAAGACAAAAGGAAAAGGATAGAGGGAAGGAAATGGAAGCCAAAGAATACCATGCCATTTTGACATGGGGCATGTTTGCTGGTGTCACAACTGTTGATGGAGTTGTTTTAGGTCCTAAGTCCTAGCCCATCCACGGGTCTCTAAAGAGAATAGGTGTGGAAAATCACCAGCGTGTTTCCACTGGGTCCAACCTACAGCTCAGGCAGCAGGGCAACTGCACCCTAGCACAAAGGTCTGGGGAGACCAGGAGCAGGGCACAGGCTCCCAGTCCATGCTGTCCACGGGGCAGTGTCCTGGAGTGTTAGCCGCCTGCTCTAACTCAGTGCCCTGCACAGGGCTCTTGTGAGGCTCTGGCAAGACCACAGGCGTGTTAGGTAAGCCCTGTACTGATGCTCAAAGGTTTATTCCCTTAGATTTCAGAGCCCACAGACTTGGCACACTAGATAAATTATCCATTTTCAGGGTTGATTAAAAAGAAGCAGGAGCGGGGGCCCTGATCCAAATGCCCTTAGGGGCTTTACAGATAGAAACTCTTGGGCTCTGATCTGTGGTCAGTCAATTCTCTAGGTGTGGAGAATCTCTGTTAATCTCTGGCTCACTCAAGTTCTCTTGCAGGCATAGCATGTGACTTCAGGGAAGTTCTCAAACCCTTTCTAGGTGACTCTAAAAATCATTACTACAAAGTGCTTCTGTTTTCCTACCCTAAAGTGATTCTGTGCATAAAGTCTTACAACGAGGCATCCAGTGCATGCACAGCAGACCCTTTCTGCGAGCTCTGCAGTCACATGCGTTTAAACCACCTATGGGCTCAGAGGACAGAATTCACAACAGCTGTTTGTCACGGCCAGTGGTTACGGCTCTATCCATCTACGTGTCCTGTTTCCTGTTTGGGGGGGGGGCAGAATGAACTTGAACCATAAGGGGGCTCTACCCCACTCTGCTTCTGAATCTCGACATCATCCTTTGTATCCCAAGCTGATGATATTGGGGATTCAATGTCATTTAGAGCAGTCTGCAGCAAGATATGCAGTGACCCCACAAAGCCGTCCATGCACGGGGCCACCCTGCCAGGGCAAAGCATAAGTGCTTTATCCCGCCTGCCGTTAAGCAGTTCCCGGACTTCCAGGGGTGCACGCTGCCAGACTGTGTTGTGCCTAACTCTGTTAGCAGTCTGTGAGCACTAGGTCGAAAGTGTCTGAACCCCTCCTGTAGCTGATGGGACACACCCCAGGGACAACAGCAGCCGCATTTCAGACAAGAAGCGAGCAAGCTTCCCCTCCATCTGCCACCTGGGACCTGTGCCTAGTCTTCCCTTCACCCCCATCCAGCCAAAGCCATGCAGAGCAGCACTGTGTGGGCCGCCACGCATCAGCACACCAAGGCAGCAGTGCTCACTTCTTTCTCCCAGCTGCTTCTGCAGCATCTGCAGCTCCTGTTGAGCCTCGGCCAAGGACACCGCTGGTGCCTCACAGCAACCGAGAAGGGGAGGGCCAGAGGGCCTGAAAGGCAGGAAGCTGGGTGGAGCTGAGCGCATTGGTGTCTGGGAAAGGCTAGCCGGCTTGGGTGTGCAGTTAAAATGAAAGCCTAGAAATAAAGAGTTAGGGAGAAAGGAGACATTATTAGAGGAAAAAAGTAAGAGAAGAAACAGGGGAGACAGATCGTTTCCTCATCAGATGGGGTCTGTCATGTGGCCAGCACTTAATGTGGTACAGGCTAAGCCAGCAAGGCCAAGTATTATCCCTGAGAAGCAGCCTGGCAGGTGTCTTTGCCAGGCTTGCCTGTATTTATAGCCTCTGCTTAATCCGGAGGCAACTGGCTCCAGAGGCAAGTCAGGATGACTATGCTTATTTCCTCAAAGGCCCCGGGATGCTGGTCATAGCATGTACCAGCCCCAGCCCCTCTCTCTGAGAAAAGACCATCGACTCATCCAGAACTCCTTTTGTGACTGTGTTAGCAACATCCTGAGGGCGCAGGCTAGACCAGGTATTACTAGTAGGTACAGTGTGGGACTCTGGATTTCTGAAGCTTGCTCCCACCAAAGCAATGTGTTCATCCACAAGATGAGAAACAGCCAAGGTGGCATGGCTGAGATGGTGGCTTGCAAACCTGTCTGAGAATAATATTTAATATTTTCATTAGCTTAGAAGCTAATAAAATGGGCTTCATTGAGGCATTTCTAAACGTGTATGTGATATACTTTGATCGTATATTCCCAAGAGGGTACTGTCTTGTTTGTCTTCCTTCCTTTTCCCAGCCCTTTCTTAAAAGGCTCCACCTCCTCTCTTGCATTTTCTTTCCTCCCCCTCCTTTGACAGGATCTTACTATGCAGTGCATACCAGCCCCAAGGGCTGGGTTGGAAGTGTGCACCACCACCTCCATACACACAGACTGTCTTAGTGCATAGTAGTAGAATGATAAACTCTTTGAATAGGACCCAGAAGTTTAATTAAAAAGTCTTTTCCCCCAGTGATCCATGGAGTCCATGTGTAGCCAAATCTTTAGAAACACTATGAAAGTCTAGTGTTTTAATCTGTTTCTTTTTTCCAGTGGGGAGAAGGGCAGAAATCAATACTATCCTAAAGAGGATGTCTATTTTTTCTTTCTTTTAGATTTATTTATTATATATACAGTGTTCTGCCTGCATGCATGCAGGCCAGAAGAGGGCACCAGATCTCATTATGGATGGTTGTGAGCCACCATGTGGTTCCTGGGAATTGAACTCAGGACCTTTGGGAGAGCAGTCAGTGCTCTTAACCTCTGAGCCATCTCTCCAGCCCCTAAAGAGGGTGTCTTATGTGGGAGATATGACTACATGTACAATACATCATTGGTCCCGCGGTGCTGATATTGTTTCAGAGTGATACTGTAGACACGCAAACTGCCTAGAGTCCCAGTCCAGGCATCATTTAGGAAGGCGCTATGATGTTAAAACCCCTGGCCGTAGGCTCTCTTTGAGCTGAAAGCGTTAGGTAGATTGTGGATACTCTGGGTGAGTAGCCCATCCTCCGTGATCTCAGTCCAGCTGCTGCTCACTCAGACCCAGAACCACAGAGTCCAGGCTCAGGTGGGAGAACGATTGGGAAGGGTGAAGGTGGCATAAAATAGGACTGTGCTCTGGGGGAATCAGACCTCATCACACACTCCATGGAGGTAGCCAGCCATAGAGAACGGCAGGGAGTGGGGACTGACCTTTCTCTGCCATCTCGGAAGCAGAACTGTGAGTGATCAATGAACTACTTCTAGCTATGCTGAGACATGAAAGCTAGTGCCCCCTCTCACTGTCTCTAGGACATGCGCCATGTCCATACTCTGGACTCCTAACCCATCATAAATCCATCGACGGCAATACAAAAGAAACAGCACTTAGTTATGACGTTAGCTGTATCACCAATGCGAAAAGGCATTGTACCAGATAAGTAGGCAGCATGAATAGGATTAACAGATGTGAGTTTCCTTATGTTCTTTGCTACTGTAATCCTATAAAAATGTGTGCCTGTTTTCTCCAGGATGAGTTAGAGAAAGAAATGAAGATACTTATTAAAAAGGGTTAGTCGACTCCTAGTCAAAACCAGTTCATAGATCAAGGCTTATTGGAGATTTCTTGTTTTCTAATTTTTAAAAATCACATACAGATGGTGAACGAGACTAGCCTCCCGATTTGCCTAGAATGGAACGGATTTAGGCTTCTACCAGCTTCCACCCTTATCCCTGGCGGAAAACCAAGCCGGCTGCTGGGAGAGCTGGATCTACTGCCCCACTGGCCGTTGCATACCTGGATGGGCCTGGCTGGCCTCCTTGAGGGGATTCTGAGGAGTTGGCAAGCTGATGGGGCTGTTGCTGGACTCGACCTTGAGCCCCTGAGATGCACTGGATGCTGATGGTTTGGAAGACAACACAGCGGAATGACTCGAATGATGGATGGACTCTACAAAACCCGTGAATGAGAGAAAATGTTTGATGTTCTACGGAGAACGGGAACCCAGGCCTTATATCATCCGGGAATACCAGGGCCAGAGGCTGGCTGTTGTGAACCGCCCTAAGGACAAGGGTCATTTGCATTGTGCATTTTCTCACTTTTAGGTAGCTCCTTCAGTAAGGGAACCACCTTTGGGGCGACAGAGTTGAGAACCTGGAAACCCTGACGTTGCCCCCCTGGCAGCATCCGTGAAAGCCCACAGATACTCAGGGGCCACTATGCAGAAACTGCAAGGACTTGAGGTGGTTTTACCTTAAGGAAGGAAGCCCCTCAAATGATTCAGTGAGCAGTAAAGGCGGGCCACCGGCTTCTCACTCGGGATTATACGTCATCATGTACATGATGGCAGAACTCAGAGTGGCAGAATTACTTACAAAGCCAGTGACAGAGCAAGGATCTACCCCATGGGAGCCCGTGCTTGGCACTTGGTCCCGGAGCCATGTTCCATTCAGCCTGATACACAGAGCGGATTATAAGGCCTGGATCCCAAGGTCTCCTCTCCGTCTAGACACAGAAGGTGCCACTCCGATAGTGGAGGCTACCTGAGTGACCAGGCGAAGGCTTCTTGTCCTCATAGTGTGTGTACTCGCTGGCTACATCCATGTCGGAGCAGGATTCGATCTCGTCAGACAGAAAGGAGGTGCTGCTGGCAGAGCGCTGGGAGTCGGAGAGGGTGTGACTGCTGCGGGGTGAGAGGGACCGGGTGTCCAGCTTGGCCTGTAGGACTTCAATGACTTTCTCCTTCTCCTGGAGCTCCCTGCTGAGTCTGGCGGAAAGAGGAGCAGGCCATGGGTGAAACCAAGGTCACCAAGACCAGCTAGTCTTCTCTGGAGCCCATGGGAGACCCGTGTCAGCCATGGGCGCCATTCTGTAGAGAATAGGAAAGGAACACATTTCTGACTGGGTACGTGTGGTGTACATGGATAGAGAGCAGTAGCCACACAGTGCCCAGGCCACATGCCGACATCAGCAGAGGCACGGCCAGACCTTGAATGCGCGACTGCTTAATAGGTGGTCCCTAAAACATGGGCAGTCTGAGGACTATTAGCATCTCCGACAAGTATAAAAATTAAAAGGAAGTCTCTGAAAATGTGGAGTGAACATTGTCTCGACATTTGAAAGTTGGATAAGTGGCATCATCTTGGTTTGCGTGTAGGCCCTCCATGTGTCTGTGAGATGAGAAACAAGACCAAAAAGAACCCCAGACACCACGGCCTTCACCATAGATATTCTGAGAAGTGCTGTCGTGATCTGGGTGTAAACAGGATGCAAAGAGCTCAAACCAGTGGTCACAAATGACCCGAGTCAGTGTCTTCGAGAGCAGGACCATCTGAATGTTTGCTCTAAGGCAACACTGTTGCCTTCCTGGGACCAACAAATGACCCCGAGTCAGTCTCTTTGAGTCAGTCTCTTCGTGAGCATTACCAATTGAATGTTTCCCTAAAGCTACAACTGTTGCCTTCCTGGGACCCACACCATCTCTGCCCCTCTCTCCTCATACTGTCACAGAATTCTTTCTCCAAGGAAATAAAATGACTGACTACTGAGTTAGCTGCTAATAAAGCACAGGGCAGGCCAGCCTAGCAGGAAGTTCATGGGGCAGGAGGCGTAGGCAAGGGGAAAGACTCTTGAGACACACATAGCTCATCCATGAGTCAGACTGCTTCTAGCTTACCACGCCTGAGGCATTACTGTGGCAATAAAATTATATCAAAAGAAAAGAACGAATTTGGAAAAAACAGTAAGTGTTCAATGAACAAATGAACTAATCTCATTCAGTTTCCCATCCTGGTCTGTGCGCTCAGGACCACCCTGCCCGGGTTCCTCTACCAGACTGTCTTCTGAATTACCTGAGGGCCAGCGGCTCAAGCCCAGCTTCTTCTTTCTCACTCTTATGATCCTCTGAAAATCAAATTTAGAGAGTGACAGAAGTTAAACAGGTCGCAGATGTGCATAGAAAACACAGGTTCCACTAGGGCATAGAATAGTGATTATGCCACACATAAGTTAGGAAGATTATTATTTTTCTTTTTTTATTGATTTTATTGAGCTCTACATTTTCCTCTGCTCCCCTCCCTGTTTCTCCCCTCCCCTTCAACCCTCTCCCATGGTCCCCATGCTCCCAATTTACTCAGGAGATCTTGTCTTTTTCTATAGGAAGATTATTTTTGAGTGCTCAAATTATGTATGTGTGTGTGCAGGTGTGTGCGTGTATGTGTGTGTGTGTACACGTGTGTGCATGTGTGCATACTTGCGGAGGCCAGGGGGCAACCTTGGTATTATTATTATTATTATTATTATTATTATGGTTTTTCAAGACAGGGTTACTCTGTAGCTTTGGAGCCTTTCCTGGAACTTGCTCTTGTAAACCAGGCTGTTCTTGAACTCACAGAGATCCACCTGCTTCTGCCTCCCAGTGCTGGGATTAAAGGCGTAACCTTGGTATTATTGCTCAGAGGAACCACCCACCATTTTCTTCCGTGTTTTCTGAGACAGTCTCTCACTGAACTGGGACTCACCAGCTAAGCCAGGCTGTCTGGTCAGCAAGCCCAGGAGACCCATCTGATGTGGGAGTGTCATATATCAATCTGTTGATTTCATTGGTTAAGCAATAAAGAAACTGCTTGGCCCTGATAGGTTAAAACATAGGTGGGAGGAGTAAACAGAATAGAAGGCTGGGAGAAAGAAGCTGAGTCAGTGGGTCGCCATGATTCTCCCACTCCAGACAGGCGCAGGTTAAGATCATTCCTGGTAAGCCAGCTTGTGGGCTACACAGATTATAAGAAATGGGCTAGTCCAGGTGCGAGAGTTAGCCGAGAAAAGGCTAGATATAATGGGCCAAGCGGTGTTTAAAAGAATACAGTTTCCGTGTAATTATTTCGGGCATAAGCTAGCCGTGCGGGCGGCCGGGTGCCTGGGAAGCAGCCCGCCGCTCGTATTACAACACCCATCTGTCTCTGGCTCCTCGGGGCTATGATTACAAGTGTGTGTGTGTTACCATATGCAGGTTTGCGTATGTAGATTCTGGGGACTGAACTCACGTCTTCTTGCTTGCACGGCAAGCACTTACAGACCGAGCTCCTTCCCCAGCTGTGGACTATGTCTTTTTTTATCATTATAAATTAACCGTACAAAACAAAGGGTGTCATAGTGAGACGGCCACAGACGTACATGAGATCCTTTGATCATAAAGTCCTCTGTGACTCACACTTATCCTCACCCCTCCTGCTGGGCCCCCTCCTGTACCCCAGTAACCTGTCTCCTGCTTCCATGCTCCTAGTTATTATAACATCTTGGTTGTCTCCTGACTCCACTCGTGGGTGAACACCTGTGATAATCCTTAGAGAGGCAAGCAGGCAGCTCACCGAAGCTCGCCAGGGAGGCTACCCCTGACCTGGCTCACAGCCATGCCTTCATATGCCCAAATTGGGGCTAAAGACCAAAATATATTTTATCTCACTGGTCACCAGACCCATCCCCATCTCTTCTCTGTAATACTCCAGTCTCCACATTTGGTGGCAGCCTGGCTTCTACACACACAGCCGTGCGACCACCGACTCTTACATACATATCAACCTTCTTTTGTATCTGAGACGACAAGTCCTTTTTCCGGTAGGTGGACCCAAATTCATAATTTTGCATGTTGACCTCTTGAGTCTGGGTACTATAGGAGCTGTAATGGCTATAATGGCTGTGCCTGATGCTGCTCGTGGGAGTCCTAATTCAGAAATGACCCTCGAGACAGGAAGGACCCTGGGTACTGGGACAGAATATCCTGCTGTGGGGGACTGGTAGCCACCCGAGCCTAGGACAGTGCCAGTGGCCAACTTACTGGTGCTGAGTTTGCTGGTGAGTCTCTCCGTCAGCTGGCCCCCTTGGGCAAGCTGCTCTCTGAAACTCTGGCCCAGGTAGTAGTCAATGTCGTTGCTCCTGAGGAGCTCCTCAAAGGACTTTACTGTATCCTTTGCGTGTTGGGTCAGAAGATAACAAATACCCCGTCCTTCTCGGATTTTTTGACGCAGATATGACAGTTCTCGGGCCTGATCCTGGATCAACGAATCGTATTTTCTAGTGCAGGAAAGAGAGGGGAGAGGAAGAATGAGGAAAGAGCGAGCGCTGAGTTATGGGGCTTCCTGAGAGAAACCGCTGTGCGACCACACCTAAGCACCCCCCGCCTCAGGAGTCATATGATCCACGCTGAGAAGCTACGGCACCAAAACGTTTAGGAGGCCGCTGCTCTCAACTCTTCTAGAACGTTCGTCATATTCAAAACTAAACCGTAAGTTCTGTGAGAGTAAATAAAATCCCATATTTTACATCCCATACAGCTCCAATATAGTGTGGACACACAGTAGATACTCTATAAATACTTAGAAATTTTAAATCCTAAGCCTACGATATATAGGACTTTCTCTATCTCGTACATCAAATACTGTCCGATGCACGAATTTCTTCTATGCTCTGATCTGTGGCAGATGGCCTTTTGTAAACATAGTAGTTAGCGTCTCCCATGTCATATGCTCTCCCATGTTGTCATATGCTCTCCCGTGTCATATGTTCTCCCGTGTCATATGTTCTCCCATGTCATATGCTTCCCACGTCATATGCTCTCCCGTGTCATATGCTCTTCCGTGTCATATGCTCTCCCCTGTTATCTGCTCTCCCATGTCATATGTTCTCCCGTGTCATATGCTCTCCCACGTCATATGTTCTCCTGTGTCATATGGTCTCCCACGTCATATGCTCTCCCGTGTCATATGTTCTCCCATGTCATATGTTCTCCCGTGTCATATGCTCTCCCATGTTGTCATATGCTCTCCCATGTCATATGTTCTCCCGTGTCATATGCTCTCCCATGTCATATGTTCTCCCGTGTCATATGCTCTCCCGTGTCATATGTTCTCCCCTGTTATCTGCTCTCCCATGTCATATGCTCTCCCGTGTCATATGTTCTCCTGTGTCATATGTTCTCCCACGTCTTATGCTCTCCCATGTCATATGCTCTCCCATGTCATATGCTTTCCCATGTCATATGCTCTCCCATGTCATATGCTCTCCCATGTCATATGCTCTCCCGTGTCATATGTTCTCCTGTGTCATATGCTCTCCCATGTCATATGCTCTCCCACGTCATATGTTCTCCCGTGTCATATGTTCTCTCGTGTCATATGTTCTCCCGTGTCATATGTTCTCCTGTGTCATATGCTCTCCCATGTCATATGTTCTCTCATGTCATATGTTCTCCCATGTCATATGTTCTCCCGTGTCATATGCTCTCCCATGTCATATGTTCTCTCGTGTCATATGTTCTCTCGTGTCATATGTTCTCTCGTGTCATATGTTCTCCCGTGTCATATGCTCTCCTGCAGCACAGCTCTGCCAGTCCTCCATCAGCGAGAAAGGTTTATCCTCTGCATGACTCGGTCTGGAAGACTCTGTGACCATGCTAACCTCCATAACACAATGGGAGCATCCCGGTGCCCAGTTGAGGAGTAGTTCTTAGCTGCCTGGCGAGCTCTACTGCTGGTCCCCATGGAAGCAACACTGCCAAAGACTATCACATCATGAGAAACCAAAGTCAAAGGAGACATCCTCAAGGACAAAGCCACATGGAGAAAGGGAGAAGCCAGGAGCCGAGACATGGGTTAAAAAAGGTCCTTTCAGATCACCCTAGCCACAGATCCACCTGACAGCGGTCACGTGGAAGAGCCAGCTGAACTGGGTCAGCTTAGAGGACCACGAGAGGCGGTTGGGTCTCTATGTCTTAGACTGGCTCGCTACTTAGCAGTAGAATCAGGACAGAGGCTGGGATGTATGTTTATGCACTATTTTCAGCATAAAGTATTGGTAATTGTGATCATTAAAAATGGCACCGAGAGCTTAATCTCTGCCAGATACTAGAAGCACATGTAATAGTTCAATTACATCCAGTAACTGTCCTTGAGATAGGGTCTCTCTTACCTTCCTTTATAGGTAAGCAAATAGATGGGGGGAGGCTAAAGAGTTTGTCGAGCTCACAGGTTGCCGAGCTGGGATTTCTAGTCAGGTGTCTGAGACGAGTTTTACCTGTACTGCTTTAACTGTCATGTTTTAAACATCTGTGACAGGACGTCCCAGAGATCTGCCGCCACCCCCGATGTGTTGCCGCTTGTCCCTGTGTCTTCCCTCAGCTCAGCCACTATTTAAGTGTCTTTCTCATCCCCTGACCACATTCTTTCTTACAACGGCCAGGGCTGCTGTTCCAAGCACAGACTTAGACATCAATCAAGTGGGGGCCCCAAACGGTCCCCCCCTTACCCAGGCCACGAGGCAGACCTCAGCTCCTCGGCCAGCTTCCCTTCTAGTCCAGTTTTGGGGAGCTGGGCCTCCAGCTGGGATACTCTCTGGACGAGACTCTCCAGATCCTTTTTGGCCTGGAGCCCTGGAGGGTAAAAAGCCCCTGTGCCATCAGACATCCACCCTTCATCGTCATCGGTGGCACTGTGAGGTGAAGAGCCCTCAAGGGTTGCGACGGTTCTCAGCTTCCGGGGTCTCTCCAGACTGGATGAGTAATCACTTGTAGCGGAGAGGGACCGGACCCGGCTCCTGAGGTTCTGGATGACCTTGTTGGCATTCTGGAGCTGGGCTTTCAGATCTCTGATGTCCTTCCTCAGGACAGAGCTGTCGTCCGAATTTCCATGCACCTGGAACTCCTCCTGCCTCCCAGGTTTGTTCTCCAGAGGCTTCTTCGCAGGCGGGCTGACCAGGACAGGGTCCAGGTACCCCTGATCCGAGCATAGCCCCTCCATGAACACCATGGGCCTCAGACTGTTGTGCTCCTCACACTCTGAAAGAGACAAAGACATCTTCCTGAAGAAAACCTGGAGCCCTCTGCATCTGCGTGACAGTGTAGCTTGGTCTTTTGTGGGATCACTAGTAGTGGGACCAGGACCTGTCCCCAATGCATGAGCTGGTTCTTTGGAACCTACTCCCTATCTGAATGGAGACAGAGGAGAAGAGGATGGGGGGGTTAAAAGGGAGGAGGAGAGAAGAAATGGGAGGAAAGGAGGGAGGGGGAAACTGTGGTTGCTATGTAAAATAAAATAAAATAAAATAATAAAGAAAGGAAACTTAAAAACTATTGGGTCGTAACTGCATGAAAAGCAGGACCTAGGAGAACAAGACCTCCAAACAAATCAATGTATTATCACAGCTGTGCCAGGGAGGTGGCAGCCGGCATGACAGCCACAGTCACCAGTTTACCAGTAAAATGTTGGCCTGAGTATTGTACTAGAATTTATTCATTTCACTGATATGAGTAGCCAGTGAGTTGGAGAGTTGTTTTATTGCTGGTTTAGCAGATAAGGAAACCGAGGCACAGAGAAGAAGAAGATTCGCACCAAGCAGTCCGGAATTCGGATCACCGTTCCTAACAGCCCCACTACACTGCCTCAGCTTCAAATCTGTAGGAATCCTGTGGTACCCAACAGTCCTTTGTGAATCCGAAATAAAAAGTTTTATTCTAAATTTACAGTTTAGGTATACATAACTCTCACAGATCTCTTCCCTCATAAAAAGGCCTAGGTAGCTGGGCAGTGGTGGTGCTCACTTTTAATCCCAGCACTCGGAAGGCAGAGGCAGGTAGATCTCTGTGAGTTCGAGGCCAGCCTGGTCTACAAGAGCTAGTTCCAGGACAGGCTCCAAAGCTACAGAGAAACCCTCTCTCGGGGGAAAAGTAATAAAAGGCCAAGGTATTTTCCATAATAGTTCCTGTCCATCTCTGGTCCTGAGTCTCCTGCAGTCCCAATTCCCCTGCGCCACTACTCATCGTGGGTAGGAGTGGCTTAAGTCATCTGAAGGCAGCCTACGACTCCAGGGAGAGAGGGTGGGTCCCCACACACCGTGTGCTTACCGGGGCTGGTGGTCTCTGAAGGCAGTGTATGACTCCAGGGAGAGAGGGTGGGTCCCCACACACCGTGTGCTTACCAGGGCTGGTGGTCTCTGAAGGCAGTGTATGACTCCAGGGAGAGAGGGTGGGTCCCCACACACCGTGTGCTTACCGGGGCTGGTGGTCTCGTCACGTTCTGCTTCGTTCTCGCTCCGGCCACAAGTCTCATAGCCCAGGTCTTGAAGGTCCACCTGGATTTGCTTGCTGTCCTGTTTTACCAGGGAGTCACCTGTGTTCGGGAAGACACAGTGGCTGTCCCAGAATATCCGGACGTCCCACGTGCTCCCTCAACCTTAGTGGCACAAACCTTGGCTTTTAAGGCCAAGAACTCAGAGCCAGGCTGGGGGAAAAGGCTTTCTTGGACCCCGATGGGAGAAGATAAAGCCTGCCATAGGTAGCAGGCATCCTCCCTACCAGGGTGAGCCAATGGTTGCTATGGAGAAGCTCTCTTCTGAAAACTGAGGCTTAGTTGAGACTAGACATGGGCAAGTCAGGAATTGCATGTACCACGTCAGGGAGCTCCCAGCAAAATCATTAGGTCTTATATCTACAAAATCTTAGCGTCAATGGAGCTGACATGATTAAGAGTCTCGAGACATCTAGCCCTGCCCTGTCCAATAAGGTAGCTCTCATTTACCTGTGGTGCCTCTTTATCAAATGAACCAAAATTCAACTTTCTAAGTTCATGTGCCCGATATCTATGTGAATAAGGAGCACCCCTACCAATTCAGCAACTCCCTTAGATAGCCCTGATTCTATAGCGACAGCAACAATGGGATTTTGAAGAACGGAGGAAAAAGAAAACCCATCGTGTAGAGAGCCAAGTCAGCTTACTGACGGCCCTGGAAATCAGCAAGCCCAGATGTCAGTCTGCTTCAGTCCTTTATTTTCACCCTAGCTGTAAAGATGTGTTTGTTTTCATTTTACATGCAATGCACGCTTTGCCTGTGTGTATGTATGTGCACCGTGTGCATGTCTGGTACCCTCAGGGGCCAGAAGAGAGTGTTGGACGCCCTGAACTGTAGAAGGTGTCTCGGAGGTTGGGAAACCAAACCGGGGTCTTCTGCGAGAGCAGCAAGTGCTCTTAAGCACGGAGTCCCCTCCAGCCCCTCCACTGTAACTCTGAAACCTTTCCTTTATTTTACATCCATCTACAGATCGGAGTAAAATGCTCACACACAGGTCTACGATTACAGTCGTGGCTGAAGCGTTTACAGGGTGGGGCAGAAAGATAACATCTGAGAAACAGGTGACTTCATGGGGAGAGGACACTTTGATGGCCACGATCTGGTGACACTCACTGAGGATGGTCCTGTACTTCTCCAGCTGGTTTGCCTGGGCAAACACGGTGGCCTCTGAGATGAGTAGCTTCTCCTGCAGGTCTTGATATCTTTGTCTGCACTGGGCCAGCTGGGAACGCAGGTGCTTGGTGGACCCTGGGAGGCTAAATTCTGCCTGGTGTCCAGAGTCTTGGGCCCGGGGCTTCTTCTCCAGCTGTGAAAAAGACCAGCACAAGGATCAGAACACTCTGAGGTTACCCTCCAGGTGGTGCCAACCCCCTCTCTGTTGGAACGCTGTGGGCTGCGTGGATTACGTGTTTGCCATGGCAGTTCTCATGCCGTTTGGCAGTGCTCTGCTTTCCGGCAGCTTCTGGAGAGGAGGGAGAGAATGCTATATTTATCTTTCTCTCTGCAGTACTGAAGCACACTGCCAGACAAGTCTCTCGAGCAGCCTGCAGTAAACATTTACTCAATCACTTAAAAGGAAGAGGTGGAAATCTCCACCCCACCCTCTCTACATTCCTGTCCCAGGGGCTCTTCTCAGAAGCCTCTGGATCCTCCACTTCACGGAATCTAAGGCAAAGCTCCTTCCCTCAGCAGGGAATCAGTGACCTCTCAGGAGGCCATGACACAGACACTTCGGGAACCTCTGAGGGAGCAGCAGTTCTAAGAAGATTGCATTGCACACCATTTTTCCTGGACTCTGTCAAGACCAGAGCATCCCGATAGAATCGCATCTCCATCCAATAAAAGATCACTGTGTCCGAAAACTCTGCTCCACACGCTGAGAACCCGGAGAGAAGACATCAGTTCACAGCCCACTACTGGCACAGTGTGTAGCTTGGAATTAAATGCTCAGAAACACCTGTTCAATGGTGTGGAACCCTGAATGGATGCCTCTGATTACAGCATCCTGCTTGGAGCATTAAGGCATCTGTCCTCAGTACCCCTTGACCTACAAAGCAGGCCAGTGTAACATAAAAACTGAACCCCCCAGCAACCCTTCTTTGAGTTTCTCGCCTCGCCCCTGCCCTCACTTACTTGGTGGGCCTCCACTGAGATGGCTGCCTCAAGATTGAGGCTCTGGGGTCTGGGGCCAGGCCTTGTGGTCACGTTCTCCGGCTCTTGGTGCTGATGCATCCCAGGGGAAGGCAGGCCCATGTTCATTCTGTCGACCTCCTTGGCCAGGCGCACCAGGAGCTCCGGCATCGCTTTGCTGTGCCCTTCTGAGCCGCTCAGGACCAGCTGCTCTTTGAGGAGGTTAATGATGTTGTAGGCGCTCTTCAGTTTTCCCTGGACTTTCCTGAACTCAGCCTGAAGGCTGCTCTCATCCAGACCCCCTTTGGCGGCCACAGTCTCCACCATCGCCTCGCCCTTCTCCTTGTCTTCCTCGACCTCCCATCCATCAGACATGACTTCTCCCATCTGCTCTTTCAGCTCTGCATTCTCAAGGCAGAGGCTCAGCATGGTGTTCCTGTAAAGAACGTAGAATGAGTGGCTAAGTTTGGCCGGGTTTATAGTTCTTCAAAGACCTTTTCACCCACATCTTAGTTCGCAATAGACTCGGAAATCACACGTGACTCTCAGAGACCTGTAACAAGCGTCATGCATGCATGAGAAGACCCAGCGGGGGAGTGTGGCAGAATGGCCTCATAACGCATGATTCCATTGCCATATGATGGCAGCATTATTAAAAGATCATAAAGTAGACTCCCCAGTCTATTTTCTTTACTTAGCCACATAGTTTCAAATGCTTTAGTGTCCATTACCTCTAGAATACACAAAACACTTAAAATATTAAGTTTTGACTTTAACAAAAATAGATCCCGCATATGATAAACCTGCTATTGTGGGTTTCATTATATTACTTATTACTGGTTTTAGATCATTGAGTGATAATCTAGAGCTCAAAATGCCAAAAAATAAATAATACTAATCAGAACTGTAATAAGAATGTAGTTATTTAATTATTTGCCATATTTCTGGTCCATGCAATAGGGCATAACACAGAGATGCTGTGTTTACCCTAGTCATCCTGTATTTCTGGGACCACCACACAGGACGGTCACATAAAACATCTCCATGTGTTGAAGTAATGAAACAGACTAGACTGAGAACACCGAGTTAGAAGGACAGACAGACACACATACACACAAATTCACATCCTAAAGAATCAGTACTTGGCTGTGCAACTAGACTGGGTTTCTCAGAATCCTAAAGTTTTGGAGTTTCAAGCAGAAGTTGTTAGGTATGCATTCAGAGAAAATCCTTTGGAACATTGAAATCAGAGATTTCCAAAGGAGAAAGGGTATAGGTCTGTTCCCAAAGTTAGCATGTAGGAAGGAGCAAAAGGAAGGTGTAGAGAGAAGAATATTTAGTTAGTTTTCTATCTTTCTGTTTAAGGTCAAGCCTGGTGTTTTACACTATAAAGTAACGAGAGTCAAGCTTAACAAGGGGCTGAGTGTTGGGGATATTCTATTTTCACACCAGTGTTGAAGATTGAGTGGAGGATTAAACAGCTCAGATTCTCAAGTTAATAGCTATATTGAGAAATGAAAATAACCTACAACGTTATCTATACGTGGGGTATATAGAAAGAGATGCTCTATTCCATGACACCACAACTAAATTCACATACAGAAATGCCTAAATAAACATATTTTAACTGAGGCAAAACGTAAGGAAAGAATCACCGTGACAATTCAACATAAAGAACTGATACCTAGAATGATAACAAGATTTAATAATAATTGTGTGTGCTTGCACGAGTGTGTGTGTGTGTGTGTGTGTGTGTGTGTGTACGTATGTGGAGGCTGGAGGCTGACTTCTGGTGTCTTCGTCTATGGATGTCCATCTTGTCATTTGAGACAGGGCATCTCACTGAAACTCTACAGTATCAGCCATTTTTTTTCCTTTCAAAAATCCCCTTAGAGTCAAAGTAGTCAATGAATCAGTACTTGTCATTTTTATAATTTTCGTGAGACAGCAAAGATTATTAAAGCTGCAATTCCATGATTCAACCATTTACGCTTCTGAAAGGGGTTGAATGGAGGTAGACAAGGCTGTGTAAACCACCCCCCCCCCCCAAGCCTCTCCCAGGTCTCTGTGCAGCAGTGAAGCTTCCTAGGTCGGTGACTATGGGACTTGACTCAGGAGGCTGTACCCACACGATTGAATGAGATTACGTCCACACATATGCACCTGGGCAGTAATACTGAGCAGATACCGACTTAATAGCTGATGATTTAGTAACAAAAGTGGCCACCACTATCTAACACTATGAACTCTTCTCTAAAGATGATATAAAAGCAGTAAGGCATGGAGTCTATGCTGTGGATCACCCTGGGGCAGCTCTAACACCTTGTTTGGAGCAAGGCGAGTCCTTGGCTGAGGTGGCTTATCATCTGCGAGCAGGTTGGGACTCACCTGATGTGAGACACGGAGGAGAACCCGGCTTCTTCCATCTGAGCCTTCAGCTCCTTCAGTTCTGCCTCGGCCTTTCTCTTCTCCTCCAAGTGCTGGCGGACTTCAGCCCTCAGGTGGAGTGTTTCTTCCTGAAGACACCTGTTACCGTCCCCTCCTGCTGGGGACGGAGGCTGAAGACATTCGTCCTGGGTTTCCATGGTCAGGCTTTTCTCCAAAGACGCCTTGATGAGCTGAAAGAGAAATGCGGTGTAATGAAGTCAGGACACTGAACAGGGGACCCAGGAACACAGGCAAGGGCAGCTCCTGACGGAAACAGAAGACAAAACTGAATGATCCCCTCTTCGAGCCAGTCCTAAGGGCCCTGGGATGGGTTTGGGAACTGAGGACGCATGCGGTGGGTGGGGAGGGAGATGGAGGCAAGCCCTCCATCAGAGGAACAAGAGAATCCAGAGAGGGCGAGAAACACACATGCACACATGGAACAAGAGAATCCAGAGAGGGCAAGGAACACTGAATACAGACAAATGAAATTTAATCTGGTCCAGTGGATGCCAATATTGTGGTGCTTCTCTTCATAGGGCCATGGAGTCCCCTAAAGAGTCTGCTTCAAGGTCAGGATGCTTCACTGACCCTAGAGCGCTAGAGCCTCGACTGCGAAGATCATAGCTCAGGATGCCAGGGCTCAGTGGCTAAACCCGTGCCTGTTGGGGTGATTCTTTGTTTGTGATCCTACAAATAAAGCTTGCCTGGAGATCAGATTGTAGAGTTAGCCACTAGTTAGCCATAGAGGTCAGACAGTGGTGGCATACACCTTTAATCCCAGCACTCAGGAGACAGAGGCAGATGGATCTCTGTGAGTTCAAAGCCACCCTGGGCTACACGAGATTGATTCCGTCTAAAAGAGAAACCGAGCCAGACTGTGGTAGCTCACACCTTCAATCCCAGTATTGGGACGCCTTTAATCCCTTGGGAGGTGGACACAGGAAGGTATATGTCTGGGCGAGAGAGGAGTAAGGCGGGAGGAGACAGGAGCTCAGAGCCTTCAGTCTGAAGATTCACAGAAACAGGATCATGCCCCCCTTGGTTCCGAGGATTTAGTACAAGTAAGATCTAGTGGCTGACTGCTCTGTCTCTCCGATCTTTCAGCTCTTGCCCCCTAATATCTGACACTGGGTTGTTATGAAGACCCATTAGATTTCGTACTACAGCCTGCAACTCAGACCCTAGAGAGCAGATGAAAATTCAGAACGCCTACAACCATTCCCAGAACTAAAATCATGGAGCCACAGGTAGGGCAGAGCAAGGCAGTTCCACTGACAACAGGAGAACCACCCGACAACCGCAGGGTTTGAGGCGAAGCCACCCTACCAGACACTGAGTTTTCCTTTTGATTACCATTCATACGTCAATGCTGTCAACTAAATTCTCTATAAATCTAAGCACGTGAGAGAAAAAACAAAGGAGATTTTACAGTATCTTTCTTCTTGGGATTCTCTTGACATTGCTCCTAAATGCTTCATTGATAACAGATTTTAAGGTATTTTCCCAAGTGGGAAATTAGGAGTACTTAAGACTTTCTTATCATATATGCTAGGCTTATCTCTAGCTATTTCTACACCTTCAAAGGGGTATTAATACAACTCAGAATTTGGGTGTGATAACTTACACAGTGTGAGGCTATTTTAATATAAGAATTTCTTCCACTTTCCTCCCTCCTTGGTTTTTGAGACAGGGTCTTGCCTTACAGTTCATATTGGCCTTAGCCTCACTAGTATTCCAGGCTGTCCTTGAACTCTTGGTTCTCCTGGCTTATCTTCCTGAGAGCTGGGCTTATGAACAGTGCTACAGCACACTTCTCAACAGGACTCTCCATGCTTCCCAGCCACACTGGCTCCTTTTTCCTTGCAGCGGTGCTGTGTGGGAGTCAGACTCAACTTCAGGCCAGTTTCGACCCTCACTCTCCACCCCTCCCTGCAGGAATTTCTGTGTCATGCTCTTTTCTTTTACCTCTATTAATATCATGAGTCATGTTAGTCACAAATAAATTTATTCCGGTTGTATAGAATCATGTCCTAATTATAAAGCCATTAAAATAGTTAATGCACATCTCTATAAACCATGTAGTGGTCACCTGTCCAGAGATGATTCATAAAATTATGTTTTATACATTCATTTAGGTCACTAACATACTGAACAGAATAGGACCCAGAGCGAGGCATATGGGTCAACGATTGATAGGACAGCGAGGGTGGTTGCAAAGCTGTTGGGGTTTTGCTATTCCTCATAACAAAGCTACGTCAGAGCTGTGCTGTGCATTTGTGGCAGAATGCATTCATAGCACACATGAAACGGTATTTAGTACCCCAGCAACTGAAATTGTCAAGTGATGCGCAGCCATATAGAAGACAGTCATAGACACAGCTACTCAGTCTTTAGACATTCAATCCTGTCTGAGCTTTGCAAGTCCAGCAGTGACCAGACTATAGACAATGTCTGTCTCTAAGAGCGCTGCCTGGTGTAGCCAGCTGGTGCTGTCTCCATGTGTCCCACCCAGCAATTGTAAGAGCAAAGGATTGGGTATTGGACAGGGCCCCTTTGAAGGACTATTAGCATAACCTTCACCTAACTGTGTGATGTGCCAGGCATGGTGGCCCAGGTTTGTAATTCCAGCACCTGGGACACCGAGGCAGGAGAAATGGCAGGCTAACCTGGGCTACATAGTGAAGCCATTTCAAATGCCCCCAAAATAATGAAGAGGTAGGCAAAAATACACAAGTCAACTTTGTGATGTTACCTGTCTATGTAAACTGTTCCCAATGAACAGAACTAAAAGATTTGAATGTGAACACAAGAGTCACTCTCTTGACCTTGAGTGTTGTTTTTGCTAAAAAAAACAACCCAGTTCATGAGACTGTCCATTATAAGAGTATCTTCCTGGGTGTGTATTTTATTCAATTGGTTTCAGTATATCTATTTTCTTTTAAAGGGAAACATTTGCCTCATGAAATGCTGACGCCAGAAAGCATTAAGATTCATTTGGTGGCTGGAGAGATGACTTCGTGGTTAAGAGCACTGACTGCTCTTCCAGAGGACCCAGGTTCAAATCCCAGCATCCACACGGTAGCTCACAATTGTCTGTATGCCCAAGATCGGACACCCTCACACAGACATACATGCAGGCAAAACACCAATGCAAATAAAAAAAATGACTAAATTAAAAAAAAGATTCATCTGATCATATTTATCATTTTAAAATAAGAAAAGAAATCATTGCCTAGATGTAGAGGTGTCCGATCTTAGGATGTGGTAATGTAATCTCCGGATTTGCAGGGCTGCACTCACGGACATTCTGGGGCACATGGAGCTACAGGTTGAATGTAGATATCCGGTAGAGGTCTGGTCATTGTCTAACCTAATTTGAATTTTCACACCTCTGAAAGGAAGTTTTTTTTTCTTCTAAGGTTATAATTTAAATATAAACGTATGAAAAGAGAATTAGGATCCAGACTCATTAACTTTTTACTTCCTACGAAAAGTAAACACTCCTGTCCTTTTCCTCAGTAAACCCACACCCAGTGCGCACTGCTAGTGGGACTCCATGGGGTCCCATGTTAAGTCACACTTCTCTTACTAAACCCACACCCAGTGCGCACTGCTAGTGGGACTCCATGGGGTCCCATGTTAAGTCACACTTCTCTTACTAAACCCACACCCAGTGTGAACTGCTAGTGGGACTCCATGGGGTCCCATGTTAAGTCACACTTCTCTTACTACACACCCAGTGCGTGCACTGCTAGTGGGACTCCATGCGGTCCCATGTTAAGTCACACTTCTCTTACTGCTGTTTCCATGGCACCTGGCTTACTCGTGCGATTGCTTCTATACACGTTAGCCTTCCCAGTGCTTCATGGAGCTGCTTCAGAGCTGCACTTCTGCTTGAGTGGAGCTGCTTGGTTTTCAGTCTTTTGTTTCACATTTCCAACATGAAGGTCAATTTTTAGGCAATATTAAAGATATTAAGAAATCATTATTTCTCAAATAATCAAGTGTCGGTCATCATTAGGAAAAAAACCACAACCACAAGGAGCTATCACCTCAATGTATTAGAAAGTGTTGTGTGTGTATATAAATATGTGTGTGTGTGTGTGTGTGTGTGTGAATAACAACATGCATGAGGTACTAGGCTCTCTCCTCAGAACCAAAAAAAAAAAAAAACAGAAACAAACAAACAAAAAACAACAAACAAACCAGAAAGTAAAGAGAAAAGGATGCTGAATAAGTATGCCTTTGTGGAAATGGTATGGCAAGCACCAAAAATAAATAAATAAATAAACAACAAAAAAACCAAAACAAAACAAAAAACCTAGACCGAATTACTATATGACCACTTCTGGGTATATGCTTCCAAAGGAACTCAAATCACTATGTGGCGTGACATCAGCATCTCTTTCCAATCACTGTTCACAAATGCCACACCATGGAGCCGAGCTGGGTGTCTGTGAATACACGAGTAAGCTACATAGAGTGAGAAATCGTTGAGTCTCAGGAAGGGGCTCTGCTGTTATTTGCTGAGGTCTGGTGGCTACGTGAGACAAGCTCACAGAAGGACAAACACCAGCACCGTGGAACACCAGCACCGTGGAACACCAGCACCGTCGTCCTGCTGTGACATACGTGAGGAATCTGACAGAGCTGAGCTACTGAAGTAGAGAGAACGGTTGGGGCCAGCAGAGTCTGGTGTGGGGAGGGGGATACAGCAGGGACGTAAGACGTCACAAAGCTTCACACAGACAGGAGCAATAGGCTCTGAGGTCAATTGCTCACCTGGGGACGAGAGTTAGTACTAAGTATATTTTAAAATGGCTAAGTATATCTCAGATATCCCCCGTAAAAAAGTAGGCAAGGTACAGATGTACTGATTAACTTGGCTTAATTATTTCACTATATATGTGTATATCAAATTGTCGTATTGTACTCCATACTTTTAATTATGATTTGATAGTAAAATATTATTCTTTTAAACTAGTTTTTCCCCTTTTCTGTCAGATTTAGTGTACTAACCTTTTGTATTTGAAACTTGATTCCTGATGAACTTCTCTGCACTGAAAATGTTCAGATGAACGGGGATGGCTGACTGCTCTCTAACGTCCTTGTGAACATCTCCCAGGCATTTCTTATAGCCCTTACAACTTTTAGACATTGGATTTGGTGGGTAACATTTAGGGAAGATTACTATCATGGTCAGACCTGAAGCTCTCTAAGGCAAGTGACTTCCTACATACGATGAAACAAAGTTGCTTTCTTTGATTCTTGCCCAGGAACACAAAGATGGGCAAAGTGTGCTTATGGGTGCACTAGAGAAAGTGTGCATACGTGTGTGTTAGGGAAAGTGTGCATACGTGTGTGTTAGGGAAAGTGTGTATACGGGTGTGTTAGGGAAAGTGTGTATACGGGTGTGCTAGGGAAAGTGTGTATAGAAGTGTTTAGAAAGTGTGTATAGAAAATGTTAAGAAAGGAGTGTGACAGGCAAATGACGGAGTCACCTGCCTTCAATCCCAGCACTTGAGAGACAAAGGCAGGCTGATCTTTGTGTGTTCGAGGCCACAGAGTGAGTTCTTGGACAGCCAGGGCTACCCAGAGAAACCCTGTCTCAAAAAAAAAAATGTGGGGTCAACAATAAAGTTTGTCTCCCAAGGATACAGTAAGGAATTGCTCACAGGCTAATCCTAAAGGGAAACAAGCAAACAAACCTTTAGAATCTGGACACACGGCAGTTATGGCAAAGCAAGCTTTATTTAATAGAGTTACAACTCAAACTCCACAAAAGATGAAGCGAACTCACAGCAGCTTTGTATACAGTGATGCCATCCACCAAGGTTCTTCCTACTCAAAAGCTGAAAACCAGTTCTCAAGAAAAAGCGATCGGAGGAAAACAGTGCTTACCATCCAGGAGGTGCACACTTCTGTCTAGGAAGTGCAAAACCCTGGTCTGAAGCTTTGCTAACTTACAATTACACTGAGTACTTCCTATGCCAAGTACCAAGATAAGTGCTGTGACGTGTGGGGGTGAACGTCTATCCGGGGTGAGACTGACCTTCTCCAAGTAGAGTCTAGCCATCTCGGCATGAGCTTACAGGAAAGAAGGCTTTACAAACCAGTGTGTCTGCGAGACGTGCAGCACCAAGACAGTTAGACCGCGGTAAGCAGAATTCGATGGCCATGGTATCGGTGTCTTCTGTTTACGTAATCTGACGTTATTCCTGCCCCACGTCTGCTAGAGCCTCTGTGTCCAGCCGACATCCCAATCTGTTCACAACACACTTCTGTTCACCCTGCAAATTCTCACACCCAAGATCCTTGACAGAGTCAGGGAGGGGAAGAGACCTCTGAGCGTCGGAAGAGTGGTAAATGTGATTAGTAAGTGAGGAGTCGGGAAAAGCAAAGGGAGAAGTGGAGCTAACACAAAGCCCTCAAGGGAGGAGCGAGGGGCAGTCATGACTACCGCGACGAAAAGGAGACCTTGACAGAAAGCAAAGACACTCATGGTGCTGCCTGGTGTCCCCGACAAACTCAGGTGCTCAAGAGCCCAAAACGAGGCCAAATCCTATTCGGTTTGGGGTCTGTTCACTTGGCCTCTTCTTATCCGTTTCATGGGCGTCTCTTCTTTTTCTCATGCAGGGAATGTACAGGCAGACCCAGGAACCCCCATTTTTCCTACAAGCATTCCTAGTAGCCCCAAGGAAGACACCACTAGAAAAGCCCAGCCTCTTTTTGGCAATGAGCCCCGTTCTCTGTAACAACTTAAGAGCCACAGGCATTTAGGTGTGACTGTTGAATGCCCCAGGGCAAGGTGGAGACACTGAGTTCCAGTGAGTGCTAAGATCACTAAGGGTGACTTAACCTGGGTCCGGGATATTCACTCCTGGGCTTCAGACATTACAATTCTGACGGTGGCTCGGCGACAGATTCTGAAGCTTGGCAGGACTTTGCTCTGTCAGACTCCAGAGCAAAGCTTTTTTTCTGTTTCACAAAGATCCCTGCTTTGAAGGCATTCCAATCCCCTGGGAGTTTCTCAGACAAGTTCTCTTGTCAAGCAGGCCCAAGGCCTTGCTGTCCCCCAAACAACCCTTCCATGTCTGTCTTCTGTTTTGTGTTTCAGTCAGAAAAGCCAAAGAGGGGAAACATCCATGGTCTTGTGAGTCACAATTCTTCTGAAGCTAAAGCTACAGACAGGAAACAGGGACACAGATGGGTAGGAAGGGTAAGAAGCAGAAAGAAGACATAGTAAAAAACAAATGGTAGGCTGAGCAGAAAAAGACCAAGGAAAACCCGGGAGCAGGCTGGGGAGGGTTACAAGAAAGATGTCTTCCTACTCCCAGCGCACTAAGGCTGATGGTGAGAAAGATCCGGAAAGCCTCACGCCTGACACTGACTTACTTGCTGGTGGCTGTTGTGTGCAGCCTCTTCCTCGATGCTGTCTGTGAACTCCGTGCTTGCGTCTTCAGTGTCGTCGGCTGCTGTAGCACCTGGAGGAGAGTCCAGAAGAGAAAGGTGACTCCTTCGCAGGTGGCTTCCAGACGGCAGGTACAATTACACGTTTGCCATCTACCTCTGATTTTCCCTGTTCTTCATACTCTGGGCCAGGGGCAGGGAAAACAGAACCAAGCCTTCTCCTGTGCCAATGATACTTTTTTCCTAATAGTTCAGCCTAGCCCTCCAAGCAAGTTCACTTTGACTATCCTGCTACACTTCCCTCTCTCCCACTTCCATGAATTCTTCTCCATTCTGTTCAGATGCTAATGTTCTCTTAACATGGCCAGACATTACTAACCTTTCTCCTACCACTGACTGCTGAGCAGGCCCCTCATTTCCTGGTATCAGGGCAGTTCCTCTCATGCTCTGTCATGGTTGGGATGGGCTGTCCATAAGGGGACAATATCTCTGCGGAACTCACCTCTGGGGTCTGTGTCTCACCCCCCCCCCCCACTCTCTCTTTTGGGGCCAACATCCTTTGCCTGGAAGATTCTCTGTAGTGCTCTGCTCGAACAGCATGTAGTATCACCCTTTAATCCTCCAAAGATGGACCTGTCACCCTAAGGCACAAGCATCTATATCCTGCTGTAAGGGACAAAAGGCCGCAGTGAGTGGTCTGGACAAAGGTCCAGGATGGTGCTAGGCAAGAGAACCTTCATTGTGCCTGCGCTGTTCAAGAGGAAGACTTTGGTGAGTAGTTTATACTTACATGGTCGTATGTGGCTAGTGACTACTATTCAGGATGGCACAAACACGTAGCATTAAAACTGATTATAGTCAAAGACTGTCCATGCAATTCTACATTAAGAACTGTGACTCACATTACTGATTTTCCCCTCTCAGAACATCAAGGAATATATATTGTGACACTTTTGTATCTCATGGAATTTGCCAAGTTAGGGAACATTAACATCTAGTTCTAATCCTATCCATCACAGCAACAGCCTGTTAAAATCTTCTAACTATGGAGTGACCTGGGGCTCAGGGAGATTCTGTGATTTTTCTCAGGTTACATTGCTAATTCTGACAAAATTCAGGCCAGTAAATCAAGTGTCTGGACTCAGGAGCCACTGTTTCTTATGATGGAGAATCTGATTCCTTCTTCCAAGACCAAACAACTTCCTCCTGAGCCAGACACTCACAAATGAAATCTCAACTTGAAGAATAAACATTCACAGCTAGAGTGGTCGTACTTCTTACCCACCTCAAGAAAGCCTAAATTTCTTCTATTCTGCATGCCAAGTAGAAAGTGGGCAGCTCACATCTACCTTCCAATTCTTTTTTTTTTAAATATTTATTTATTTAATATGTATACAATATTCTGTCTGTATGTATGCCTACAGGCCAGAAGAGGGTACCATACCCCATTACAGATGGTTGTGAGCCACCATGTGGTTGCTGGGAATTGAACTCAGGACCTTTGAAAGAGCAGGCAAAGCTCTTAACCTCTGAGCCATCTCTCCAGCCCCCTACCTTCCAATTCTTAACGCCTACAGTCTGTGCCAGAGCATTTGCAATGGCTTGCTCACATCATCAAAGAACTAGGGTGTGTGTGGTAAGTGTGTTGTCCTAACAGCTTAAGGTCCTCAGTCTTCACCGTGACTGCTGCTGTCCCTTCAGGGGCGAGCAGGATTCTCTGCAGTGAAGCCACTGACCAGGAGGCACTCAGCATCTTTAGACTCCACCTGCAGCCAGCTCAGAGCAAGACTCCCACTACTCCCTTGACGGTCAGAACCGTCTCCCGCAGGGTCCCGGTTAGAGGGGAATGAACATGATCCCTGAGCCCGGGCTGCTTTGGAAGCCTGCTAGAACCAGGATGCCAGGTCACTTATGACATCTCTACCATATTATACTTATTTTTACAAAATTTGTTCCTGTCCAACAGTAGAGATGACATCTCTCTCCCTGTAAAGAAAATGAATGTCCTGAGTGACAGATGAAGAAAATAACTTTCCTCACTGTCCCCCTTGGAGCTGGAAGGTAACTCTGAGGGTCAGGAAGCTCCGTGAGGACAGCATTCCCACATCCTTCTCGCTGGGCTGTGGGCTGCTCCATGCTGGCTCCGTATCCCTAAGCCATCCCTGCCCTGGGTTCCAGGAGTTAAATTGGGGGGTTTTCTGCTGCCAGAATCACATTTCTACTGTCCCCTCTTTAAACCACTGGAAGGGGACCGGAGACCCTGCTTCTGGTTTGGTCAGAAATTACAGACAAAAGAAGGATATCCCCACCTGCCCCAACTGTCTGTTACTTGGAGGTTTTGTTTCTCTCTTCCTTAATGGAGCTGAGAGCTACTCTGCTTTTGCTGAAACTAAAACGGCTGGAAAATGTGTTTGAGAATGAAGCCAAAAACCAACAAGGCAATAGAATGAGTATGTCGTCTCACACAAGGTCCTATTTGGAAGCCACCACTAGACATCCCTCTTTCTGTCACAACTTCCATTTTCTAATGAATGAAAAGAATTTTTTAGGTCTGGCATGTGACTCAGCGTTAATAGTATTTGCCTAGAAAAGCCTTGGGTTTGATCCCAGGCACCACACAAAACCAAGCCTTGCTGTCACATGTCTGTAACCCCAGTACTTGAAGGTGGAAGCAGGATTATCAGGATGTCTTTCTCAGATACAGAGTTTAAGGCCAGTGAGACCCTACCCCTCTTCTGAGAAAAACAAAAGAATTTTGTTTTGTGAAGGGTTCCCTTCTCTAACCCTCTTGCAATGCAACAGAAGACTACTTTCTTAACTATCTTGGGATAGTTTAACTTTTTAAATGGAAGAGACTTAACACCTTTAAAACTGATCATAGGCTCATTTTTGGTAATGTATGATATTCTCTATGAGCTAGCATCTGCCCGTTTCCAGTAACCTTGCTTCTCTGAGATGGAGTTTTACACAGGAGGACATAGACATGACGGGAATATTATCAGACACTGAGTCCTCGGTGGAGGCCCCAGTGTGGCTCTGAAGCACATGAAATGGAGGTGACGCCATGTGGTCCATGGGTAGTTAGTTGTCTTCTACCAGCTATATGATTTTTACAAAGTACACAGAAATACAAGACCTCTCTAAAAGGAAGCAAAATCCATGAGCTGAGGGTGTTCTTATCCGTGAGGCCGACACTCACACATCCGTAGGGTCTTTCAATTGAAGATGGTGTGGTGACAAAGAGCGTGGACTCCGGTGCCAGAGCATCTACTAGAACCTGCTTTTGTCACTAGTTACGTGACTTTGATTAGGGTTGGTGAAGCTATCTGTTCCAGGCAGCTGCCGCAAACTTCAAACGACTTTGGACTTCAAAGGGTTTGCTGCCGCTGCGTGCTTAGAGCAGCGCCTGGCGCACTGTGCAGTCAGTAGGTCTTATCCCGCCACAGTATCGTTTTGCCATTGCTGGTGAACTGAGGAGGTCCTTGGGCTAGGAGGTTCAGGGCTAGCAAGGCTGAAGGCCACAGAATCTAACTAAATATAGGCAGCAGAGCAAAGGGTTAATTCTGATGGCACTGGCTTTACCTGTCAGTCTTTCCTTCTGAATTCCTGCTTCATAGGACCAGAAGGAAAGTCCGGGCCATCAGGGATACAGGGTGATCCCTTCTGGAAAGCTGCCACTGCCATCATAAGATTAGACATTCCTTGAGATGCCACTATGCATGAATAGCTTTAAAGGAAACTTTACACACTTTCCTTTTAATTCTTAGTCGTGTGAAAACTGGGTAGGGTCAAGGTATTCTCCCCAAACTCTACCCTACAACTATTATTTCCTTAACTTATTTATTTATATGTGAACAGCAACTTTGAACATGGCAGGGCTCACAGGAAACTTACTTTGAAAATAGATTTCAAGAGTTGAAGCTCACAGTCTGAGTAAGCTTGCAGGCCAACTGTTCTTTCCCAGAGGAAGCCTTCTCCGGTCTATCTTACTTTCTTCCCCGGGCGCTCTGCCTGCCGTGTGTTCGATATCGGAACACTCACATTCTCACCTCGCGAACCAGGTCTCTCTGGCTCAGGAGTATGATGCTGGGTGAGACTCAGAGACAACAGTTCTCTCTATAAAGCTTCAGTTTCCTCTACGTCCATTCCCTTCAGGACTGTAGTCACGTCAAGAGACGCCACATTCTCCTTAGACAGCGGAGCACTTTTTTCAATGCAATGTTTCCTAATAGCGCTGTCCAGTGTGGATACCATTAAGGAAGAAGCTGTGCTAAGTGACGGGAAAGTAAATTATAATCCGAATGACTTTCCAGGGTACACAACTCAATAGGACGTTAATGTCTACTTCCCCAAAAGATGGCTTATTCCATGTTTCACCCGTCTTAAACTGCCCGGGACATGTATAAATTAGGGCCATCCTGGGAAGATCAAGCTCACAATGTGTCCTATAAAGTGATTCTATCACGTCAAGGAATTCTTCCTGTTTGTGGTGTCTTTTCTTCATTTCATTAAAGATGGTGCCGCCCACTGCAGCCACTGACCCTCAAATTGGCCTGCATTTACTACTTTTCATCAGTAAGGAAAACAAGTACAGATGTTTAAGGCTTAGCAAGCCCATTTCATGATATGGGGAAGTACTATTTGTTTCTTTGGTCTCACTTCCTTGGGAGGATAAAAAATTCAGATTTCCTCTTCTTTAGTGAAATATGCATGCATGGTGTCTGGCTTTGACTTGGAACTTTAGTACAATGATAACAGACTGACTCCTATAAAGGAAAAGAAAAAGAGGATGAACTTCTTCTATCTTTTCTCCTAAGTCTTTAAGAACGAAACCAAATAGCTTCTATTGGCCTCTGATACTTTTATTGGATCAGTAACAGGTTTTGGTGTGTCTCTACTAAATTAGCTGATTTCCCAACACACATATAAAAAGCACAGGCTCCACAGCGCAGATATTTACAGTTTAACAGCACAGTTCCGTGAAGAATGAACTTAGAGAAAAATGAAGCAGCTTATTTGGTGAGGAAAGTCCTGGAAGTGAGGGCCATGGGTCTGATCATGCAATGTGCACTTCTTTCTTCATCTCAAGTTTCTGTGAATCACCCTTCCTCAGTACCCCACAAAATTTCACGTGACGAAAGCAAGCAACATTGCTTTCATTAGCAAATAACACCTTGAACTCAGGGATGCGTGGCCTACATATCACACGTGTCTACGTACATGCTTCTGAGGGGTTTAGGGTGGACAGTCACTCTCTAGTGCAGTGACAGACAGCTGCACAAAGCAAGTCCGTGCCACTAACAGCAAATCTACCAGCCTCTGTCAAAGTCTAGAGAGCAGAGCCCATGCGTCTAACAGTCCTGAGCCCCAGATCACTTTGGACCAGACGTTTTGCGATACTCTCGAACATTCTATTTTATTCTTTCAGCTTTAGCATAAGGAAGGCGGTATAACAGAGACTTTAGCTTCAGGAATTTGATTTTAAACAACGAAAAGGGAAAATTACATGAGTGTATCACTTTGTAAGTTAAATTATTCTTACCTGACATCTGGTAAAACTTGTTGGACATACAGTTTTCGATTTCCTTTGCATTTCTCATTCTCTGTTGGTGATAAATTCTAATGCTAATTTTTATTGGGAAAACTCATCCTGGCTTGTGCGATTATATAGGAAAAAAATGAAGACTTACCTTCTGTCAGTACTCAAGAGTACATAAAAGGTAATATGTTTATTTTCTAATTCTAATTCTAATTACTGTTACAAATGGCAAGGGAAGCCACTTCAATTCAAGTGTGGTGAGATCTGAAACTCTTACCCTAGAGAAGTTGTTGCCATGTTCAACCTACTCCTGCATCCTCGGTTTTACTCTACTGAAGTGGCTGGCACAGGTTGACTTTACCCTTGCGGATGCTCTTCTCTAGGGTACAATGGGTCTCTACTACCAAAAGAAGCCTCTGTCTAAGAGAAACGAGAAAACATGTGCTTGCATCTCACAAGATGCTAGTCTCTAAATAGGAAAACTACCCCCCTTGGTTCTGCTAGGCAGTCTTTAAGCATAGAGTTACAGCATGGCTCTGAGGACATAGGAGGTCTTTCCCCTTCTCCTGCAGGCCACTGCCAATGACCTTTGCTGAGGAGACAGCTGAGGGTTTTCAGGAGTTTCAAATGCAACTCCTATAAAAAGGAGAAACTTGCCGCAGGAGTTCTCTGTGTAGTAAGCCTGGTTTTTAGAACTGCGGCGTTTGAAGGAATGCCTGAACAATGGGCTCAGAGCTCTGCAAGGGCAGCTCGAGGAAAACCAAAGTTAAGTTTCCAGCTTAACTTAACCAAAGAGGTCAGGCAGCCAATTCAGTTTTACTCCCAGAAAGGGGCAGGTGGCAGTGCAGTGTGACCTGCCCCTTCTCTCCCTCACCCTGAGATGCCAATGTGAGGTCAGAGACGAGAGAGAGGGCTGAATCAACTTTCTTCAACTGTTTTGAAGCCGTAAGCGCAGCCCTTACAATCGATACTGAACTAGGAGCACAAACAAGCATACACGTGGAAGCAATATCTCCTCCACAGATGCCACTTCCGTGTAAACCCTGTAAGTCCCATCTACAAAACCCTCTGAGGAGACTCTATGCCGATGGAAATCCTCCCCGGGTTTTGATTTTCTTTGCTCCTTAATAGGTCTCTTGCTACCTGTAATATAGCTGAATACTTTCCCTACATTCAGCAGTGGTAAAAACATTGCTGCGTCTATACCTGAACGAAGAGCTGTGGGTAAGGAGGCAGATGAGGCAGAAGTCGGGGAGATACAAAGCATACATCGTGCCGAAGTAGGGTGGCATATTAAAACAGCTCAACTATTCCTTTCCAGAAATTATAACTTGGCTGAATTGCTTTAAAAAAAAAAATAGAACATCAGAAAGATGTTGAGCACTAGAAGCCTACCAACAATCGGATTTCAATATGATTTAAACCTGTGGTAGAGGGTGTAAGCTTAGTGGGACAGCACCTCACTAGCATGTACAAAGTTCTGGGTTAGAGCCCCCAAATCAAATATACAGCAACAACAATGTCTAAGTTAGGAGAGAGTTTGGAGAAAGTATGTCAGAAGGACTTTCATTTTATTCCTTAACCAAACTTTCCTGGGATCCCTTTTTCAACCCAATAGTTCCCAAAACTAGACTTGTCTACTAGACCCATTAGAACCTTTACTCTGCAGATTTCCCCACCATTTAACAGGAAATCTGAGACAAATGAAATCTATCAATAACGGATTTTTCTAAATTAAAGCTCAATGTTTCTAAATAAGCAAAGCCCGTGGGAAAATCTACTTCGTGATTTTTCTTTCAAGGAAGTTTTTATTGAAGCACAAGCTTCTACAAGTACATGGCACTTTAAATCTAAGTTTATTGAAAGGTTCTTAAAAGTCCCGACAAAGGCAAACAAATACAGCTAACAGTCTGTGCTCCTACAGAGGAATGAAGATTCAAACCTGTGAATCCAATGAAAGGAGTGACGTATAGAATCACAGTACCATCCACCTGTGGCTTACACGTGACAGTTCATAAGGGCTGTGCTCTGTAACCAGATGACAAATCACTGCACGAGCTTGTGGGCCCAGCACATTCTTTCCAGGCAGCACAGTCCCTGGCCTCGGTCTAGCATCAAGGCCAGAAAGTTAGTACCAGATTTTCGTCACATTTATGGAATCAACCATTTACCTGTCTATCAACCTGCTCTTGTTAGAGGTTGACAGATGGCCTAATTATTAACAGACATTGATCACTGGGAACCCTTAGAACCCAAGAGTCACCTACAGTTGAAACTTAATAGCAGCTTTGTAAAACCTTGTTGGTCTAATAGTAAAGTAAACACATTCCTAAAAGCCCTGTGATGACCGACAGACTGTCTTTGACTGACGTGTCTATAGCTCAGTTCTATTTCCCTCTTCCCTATTTGCTAGTTACATGAAGTTTCGTGCAGGCAGGCCTTAAAATCTCTTAAAACAAGGGGACTAAGAAAATCGGCTGGTTCTGCTTACACAAACATCCTTTCTTTCCTATCAAATGATTCCCTTTCCCCCTGTTAAAACTGAAATAGCACATCCGTTATAAGGAAGGCCATGACTGTCAGTCTTTGTGAACTACTTCACCAGACGATTCCAGGGTGTTTTGAATACTCTCCTCCTGTCCACCTCAGGTTGACTGACGCTCATCGGCTACAGACACAGCTGAGGTGACGGACTCTCGGAGAGAATTCAGAATGTAACACAGCAGCACATGGATAGAAAGTGCCAGGGCAAAAAGGAAGGAAAAGGAAAAACCATGTACTCGGTCTAGCTTCGGAAGGGGACTCAGTCTTTCTTAGGGTGCGGGAAAGCCTGAATTATGTTCCCTCAGTGCCATGTTCAGAGGAGCTGAAGCCTTAACTTCTCCTCTAGGAAATCCATACTTTCAGAGGTAGGAAGCCTCATGGTGCAGAATCCACAGCCCCTGCGTAACCTGTTCCTTTTCATTTTCCTGACATGTAAGATGCTAGAGACAAAATCTGAAGCTCCCTGTCTCTATCTGTTTTGTTGTTCTAAGAAAGTAGAGGTGGTGACTAAATCCTACACACGGACCTCTGTCTTCCTGGGCACCCAGAGAGCTCCTTCCTCTTGTGTGAGGACATACATACATCCAGCAGGGGTAAGTAGGGGACACACCTGTGTCACCTCCAAGCGAGGATCTAGAAACAGACTTTTCTCGATGCTGGGACACAGGAAAACGCTGCTTTAAAGGGTACTGACAGGTGGGGGGAGGTGGCCACGCCTCTAATCTAGCACCCAGAAGGCAGAAGCAGGTGCATCTCTGTGAGTTCAAAGCCAGGCTGATCTACACAGCACATTCCAGGCCAGCCACAGTGAGACCCTACCTCAAAAAACAAACAAACAAAACACCAAAACCCCAAATAAAACAAAACATGGGGGGAGGGTGGGAAACACCACATAGACTACCATCTTTCTCCCTAAAGAACTAGGATTTGGAAGCTCTCCTCTAAAGTCCTGTTCTGACTAAAGGCCACGCTTGTGGCTTGCAGAAGCCCTAGGCCAGTGAGGAACAAGAATGTTACAGACTTTTATAGACTAGAACTTAAAGTCCTCTAATCTGATCTTGTCTGTGACTCTCAACAGTCAACTCTGAAGCAGCCTTAGAGAGCAAGATCTAATGTAAACACCTTTATGGTCTCTGCTCCTTAACTTAGCCTAAGTCCACTCTCCTGGTTTTGATTATCCTTAGTACGGCTACACCTCTCCCCAAAGCCGCTCTATGAACTCTCAATCTCTCCCTAAACCTGAAACTTACTCTATTCCTTTATTTGGTCAAAAATTGCTTTCAGAGAGCAGGATTTGATTGGATGGCAAAAATAATACACACACATGCATTTTATGACATGATATGGGACATGTGGAATGGGTGGCGGTGGTGGGGAAACTTTATTGGCCCGCGGAAGGGGTTGAGGAATGAGCAGAGGCTAAGGGAAGGGTGAGTGGCTATGGGAAATTAAAATGGAATGATCTAAGGTGGTGTGCAGGTATCCTTCATGACCTCCATGTGTAACGGAGACAGCAGCGCAGTGAGGCTCAGGGGCACTACGGTGACTTCCCTTTGCAGGAGCCGCGAGTGACCACAATCCTACCATTAGTAAGTCACACGCTTTCTGTCCGGTCAGACACGACTTTCTCTGGTTAGTGTGAACAGGGTTCCGTCCCGGGCTGCAGTGTGACCCAGTGCCAGTGCTCAGAAGGCATGCTTGTGATGAACTTGCACACTTTCCAGTTCCCCACCTCCAATGGCGGCCAGGCTCTCCAGTCTGTTTAAGCGCTCCAGGCTTCTTCCGAGAACTTCTTCTAGCCGACTGCGTAATGCCTGGGCCCCTTCCAGTTCCACCTGTAGAGTTCGGTCTCTCTCAGAGCTGATTAAACAGGCCACATGGAAGGAAAATGGGTTAGCCATCAAGTGTAGGAGTCGGCATGTTCCCAAAGAGCCGTCTATGCTGCTTGGGCCACCAGACTCCCTAAGGTAACTGGTCTCAAAGGCGAGGGTTAAGTGAACAAGTGTAGTCTTGGTGTGGCACCTGTGTTTGCTGCTGGAGGATAAGCAAGGCCTGCACCCTTGTTGCAGTAACAATGGGAAATCCCATTTCTAATTTAAGATTCAGACCCCGAAGCTCAGGTCAAGCCATACAACAAATCACAAGGTGGGTAACTTCCTATTTCCTCCTCTTTGGTATTGTAAACATCTATTTATCATTATAAACTTGATTTAAAAAAAAAAAAGAAAGAAACAGAATGAAAGTTGAAGGTAAGTGAGCCAGGCGGCCCCTCTCTTACTTCTCCGGGTGAGCATGGAACTTGACCAGGCTGCTGTACAGCTGCCTCTCGGCTTGCAGGGCCTCATTGAGCCGACTCCGTTCATCTACTAGTCCCTCTAGCATCAGCAGCAGCTAAGGAAGAGAGAGGCAGCAATGTGAGAAGAGCAAAGTGAGCCACAGAGCCACAGGAAATCCTGAGAGACAAACTGCGGGATGAGCGCCCACGGTGACCGACTGTCAGGGTATCACTTCCGCTTTCACGGCTTTCACATCAATACTACACCTGTTAGCATTTTATACCCTAAAAACTATCAGTCAAGTTCCAACATGGGAGCGAGAACTGAGGGAGGGAGAGGGAGAGCCTAGAGAAAGGGAAGGGTCTAAGATGGAAGGATGCAGGAAGGATGGATGATAAGACAAAAGCACCAACAACTTAGCACTCTCTCTGAAGCCCTTTCACTCGGTACTCACTGAGCAGCTCCATGCTGTCACACACGCTGGTCTAGATCTAGGGGAAAGCTTAGGAGAGACACTCCCCACCCAGAGCCGTAAGCCATGCTGAAGACGGGCCGTAAGAATGTGTAGCCGGCAGAGAGAGAGCAGTCAGGAGTGCAGACTGGAGTGAGGTGGGTAGGGAGAGGGCCGTGCAGACAGGTACACAGGCAAGGCACACAGACTTTCTGAAGACTCTGCACTGAGAAGCTTAGATACGGGGCAGAAGCTACAGAAGAACCTGTGTCCCAAGAACTCACCTGTTGTCTCTGGTTTCCTGAAACTTCCTGACCCTGGGGTTCTACTGAAGCAACTTTTTCCCGAAGAAGTAGGACCTCTTGGGTCAGACGTTCTATGGCTGGGATGTCTTCAGGGTCAACAAGCTGCATTTGCAGGTCCTAGAAAAAATAGAAGCAAACATGAAAACGGTGATGATGTCACACAGCAGAGGGGCAAGGGGCAGATCCTTTGCTCTAGTTCAAGGCCAGAGAATTCAGGATCCTGTGTAAGGATGCCCTACAGCTAGCTGAGGCATACACTATTCCAGTGGTTTTGAAAAGCTATGAAAGACCTTTATGAGGTCTTCTTTGATCTGTATGTTCCTGGTCAGAGACTCCAAGTCAGCAGCCTGCACCTGCAGCTCATCCTCTTGTACAGCTATCATGGACTGTAGAGCAGACAGTTCTATCTGTGGAGAGAAAAAAACCAACAGGAGAGGAGAATGCATATTACAACCAGTCAGTAACACAAGAATAGTGCCATGGGTCAAATCAATAAAACATGAGTGTGCAATCAAAGGATACTCTAAAAGAAACCATAAGAATGTTTTCCATAGGGGCTGGAGAGATGGCTCAGAGGTTAAGAGCATTGCCTGCTCTTCCAAAGGTTCTGAGTTCAATTCCCAGCAACCACATGGTGGTTCACAACCATCTGTAATGAGGTCTGGTGCCTTCTTCTGGCCTGCAGGCATACACACAGACAGAATATTGTATACATAATAAATAAATAAAGAAAGAAAGAATGTTTTCCATATCTTCTATTACTATAAATAGCAAATTTAATTAATGGGGTCACTGGGATATTTAAAAGTTGGTTACAACTAGCAGAAGGAAGAAGAAATGCTGTTAATTTTATGTGAATACTTCAGCTAATACATGAAAACATGGTGGATTTAGAATGTCTGTATTTTATACCGCTTAATGAATTACTAAGGTATTGAGCAGCTATAACTACTAACACCACCAGGGATCACCAAACTACAGGCCTCCTGGTGAAGAGCATGCTGCTACTACAAAGGAATCTTGCCATCAGTCAGCACAATATATTGATGAAGCTTTCTGTCCTGCCTGGTCCTGCAGCCATTCAGTCCCAAAGAAACACACAGAGGCTTTTATATTAATTATAAGCTGTTTGGCCTATTAACTCAAGCTTATTATTACTAGCTCTTACAACTTAGATTTACCCATAATTCTCATCTATGTTTAGTCATGTGGCTTGGTACCTTTTCTCAATAACGCATTCTCATCTTGCTTCCTCTGTGTCTGGCTGGTAACTGACTCTCTGCCTTTCCTCTTCCCAGAATTCTCCTAGTCTGGTTGCCCTGCCTATACTTCCTGCCTGGCTACTGGCCAATCAGCATTTTAAGACTTGAATTTAAGCCTTGATTTAGGCGTTTGACCCCATATCTGTGTTAAAAAAAATAGTATTTCCTATTAGTGATGATACCACCATTTCACTTGACCAGCACAGAGCACATGAAGAGTGCTCAGTGCACAGCATTGCTCATGCTCATCCACCTCCTGTTCACTGTTTGCAGAGTTCATGCATCTGACGCCACCATGTTAGACAGGAGCTACACACACTTCTGTTTGGCAAAAGTGCTTTACAATTATTTTATTTTGCTTACCAAGAGGAGGAAGAAGCAAAAAGATCTGATGCCTCCATTGCAGTGAAAGCATCTTGTTGAGGTGATGAAGTCATACAACAATCTGTGTTCCTCTCCAAAAAGAAGAAAGGTGTCTCTTGCATTTGGAGCCAGGTATTATACATGGAGAATTGGAATGTTTAAAGTATAAAGCAGTTTGAAAGAAGCAACAGGAACCTGTGGACTGCTCTTCACTAACAAACTTACCTGGCTTTCTCTTTCTTTTTTAGCCATGAGCTCGAGTTCCTCCTTGGCATTACTCAGTTCCTTCTCCAGCCCTGCAACTGTGTCCGAGTCTCCTGAAATGAATGCACAACATGACTTTTAATCACTGAAACACGCCATGATCTCTGCTGCCCTGCAGCACTTAAAAAAATGTGTGAACCTGCTTTAATGTGTAACAATATTTATAATAAAAACCCCACAATCAATCTATATGCTAAAAAGGATGAACGGAATAGACTATCACACGTTTGTCCAGCAGACTACACTATACAGTTGAGAAAAAATGAGAATGAAGTTGTTGAACATTTGGATTTCAATGATACTAAATATAGATGCAAAAGAATACATTTAGTAGGTGAAGAAGGAAATGACACACTTATCCATATACACATGTAAATCACCCACTTACTTTTTAAAAACATACAAAGGAGGACAATCCAGAAATGAAATGTATTTCACTCAGGGAGTGAGTAGAAACGTGAGAGAAACAGGGATATAGATGGGCTTCTGAGTATACCTTTTTATATATTTAATTTCTGAAGTTAACATTTAATTTTTAATATGTAAGTTTGTTTAACAATGAGTTAAAGAAAAAAAAACATATAAGGTTTGGGCGGTTTTTCTTAGAAGTGATGAGTCTCCGGATTTCAAGGGACACCAAACTGGTTTTCTGAACTATCATGATGTGTCCTGGCTGAATCTCCTAGACAGCAATGGGGCAAGGAAAAGCAACAGGATCCTCTCAAAGCAGAACTGGTGCTCACCTAACATGGACCTGGGCATGCTGGCATCTTCCCTAGCAGTCAGCGAGGTGCTATCGTCTCCAGAGGGCATCTGCATGGAGCTCTGTAAAGTGGAGGGGTTGTGGGGTTTAGAAAGACATAGGGACTATGATCACAGTGACAGACTGAACAGTCTCACTAAAATGCCTCAAATGTAAAAAGGAAATGCAGTTGCCATGAATGTGAGTCTATAGTTCTTACTTGATCAGTCTGATCTCCCAGGTGGGGGCTGACTAAAGCCACTTCAACTTGCTGGTTTAAGAGGGGCGCCCGAGAGGCGCCAAGGTCTCTCCCTAAGTACTGGCGCAGGGCGTGTAATTCTGAGTTTCTCTCCAGGAAGGCTTGCGCAATTTTCTCTGCAGCAGCCTGGTAAGAAAGGAATCATAACAAACATTATTAGAAAGATATCACAGTAAAACAACTAAAACATTTTCACAATTCTTTAAAGACTTATTTATTTTTATTTTATGTGCATGATGGTTTTGCCTGCGTGCATGTCTGTGTACCATGTGTGTGCAGTGCTCACAGAGGCCAGAGAAGGTCCTCTGGAACTGGAGTTACAGATGGCTATCAATCACCTGAAGGTTCTGGGAATTGCACCCAGGTCCTCTGCAAGAGTGCTCTAACTACTGAGCCATCTCTCTAGCACCTATGAAGTGTGTATACTCAGTAAGTATATACTGAGTGCCCATTCCTGGCAAGTCATGTTTGGGTACCTGGGATTTAGCACTAAGTGGAGCTTGAAGTATACATTCTTGTTGAGGAGGAGAAAACAGGAAAAACATAAGGGGATATATTAGGTAGCAGGAAGTGCATCAGGCAAAATCAAGCATAGCAGAAGGATTTGGAGAGTGGAGGGAGGGTCCCCCATATACACTTTAAATAAAATTTGTATGTATATATGTATGTATGGCAAATAAGAGCTGTATGTATTCAAGGCATGTAACAAGCTGCTCTGATACATGTGTGCACATTGCGGATGGTCACTAATCAGTTCAGCCACCAGTCACTGTGTGTATCAGCAGGTAAGTGGCACAGAGTGATCAGTGGTACTCAGTCAAGGCTGAACGTCCACACTCTTTGTCCATGGGATTATATTTTAGATAGAGAGGCCAGTGTGATAAAGTCATGTTTGACAAAGAACTCAGCCATACAAATGTTTGGGGAAAACGCAATTGAGGCTGAAGAAGCAACTAGAGAAAAGGAAGTCATTTGTTAGGCCAGTTCTGCCCCAAATCTGACCTTGGAGAACCTGTTTCAGGGTGTCTTATCTGGTCCAGTAATGCTGTTTACTGTGCACACAATTCTGCTTGGGAAAGACTTTCTACTCCACTATTTTTCTTTATAAATTCTGAGCAGAAAAATTATTTCTGAGGGTCCCATAGGTTTTTGCTTTGTTTCACTTTGTTTAAATAAGTGGTTGATCCCAGTGCGAATGGGAATAGAGGAGAAAAGAGAATTTGGGACTGACCAACATATTATATAATTGTATGAAAGCATCAATTAATAGAGAAAATTTAAACAATCAAACTAGTGTATTTCTACCAATTTTCTAAGGTGATAGCGATACAAGGGGAAGACCTAGAACTCATGTGTGACCATTAATGTATAGAAATGCATTTAGAGCTGGCAAGATGGTTCAGCAGGTGAAGGTGTTTCCCATAGAAATCCAGTGACCTGAATTTGATCCCTGGACCTCATGTAAAGGTGGCAAGAGAGAATGAACTCCACATAGATGCTCTCTGATTTCCATCAATGCACCACTGCGCATGTGCCTACACATGCATCATCTATACCATCATGTATACATACAATTGGTGTGGGACTCCCCTCTGTATGCTGTGAATACTATTGGTTAATAAAGAACTGCTTTGAGCCTATAGCAGAGCAGGGCAGAACAGAGGTAGGCGGGGAAAACTAAACTGAATGCTGAGAGGAAGAAGGCAGAGTTAGTGAGAAGACATAAAGCCGCTGCCGGAGACAGATGTGCTGAAACTTTGCTGGTAGGCCAGGACCTCGTGGTGATGCACAGATTAATGGAGATGGGTTAAACTAAGATGTAAGAGTTAGCCAATAAGCAGCCAGAGCTAATGGGCCAAGCAGAGATTTAATTAATACAGTTTCTGTGTGATTATTTCGGGGCTAAGCGGCCAGGAACCAATTAACGGCCTCCTCCAAAATACAAGCATAATTGTAAACTTTTAGGGGATTGAGATAATGAATTGGAACCATGTTAGCTAAATTATAGCACCAGCTTTCTCTGGGATGAAGCCAAAGCTGGCAACTTCTAAATGACAATTAAAAATACACATCTTCAGGATGGAAAACTTGGACTCTTTTGAGGTACGGACTATCAAGTCCTGATAACTTAGATAGTATTTCAGAATTCTATTCCTCTTTCTCTCAGAAAAAATCAGAAGATTAAGAAAACAAAAATACTGGATACATGTATTGTCTAGGCCACTTTCCAGATGCAGTGTTCAAACCATTTCATTCAGACTGATGGAGAACTGCCAAGCAGACTGTGGAGAGAGCAAGCCCACGTCGGCAGCTCCAGACACTTTCTGTCTGCTGACCACGAGAGTAGCACAGGGTCCCTGTCTGGTTCTGCATTAGCGCTTACTTGGCTCGCCTGCTCCCTGGTGCTCATGGACTGCAGCAGCCCCTGGATCTCCATCTCATGCTCCGCAGCTTGTTTGCGCCGATCGCTCAGGAGGTCCTGCAGCATCCTTTCTTTCTGCTGCAGGTGCTGGCACAGCTCCTCGGCTATCTCACTCTGACAGGGTTCGAGTTTGCAGAGTAGTGTTGCCCGGAGTTCCTAATGGGAAAGGGATGGCTGGCGTAAATTCCCGGAGGATAGAATTTCCTCTGCCACGCACTGAAGGGGTTGTAAGAACCCATTGTGACGTAATTACAAGATTCTTGGGAACACTCTAATGTCTCATCCTTTGTGCCCCCAGACCTAGCACAGATCGATGAGTTGGAAGGCTGGACGTGCATACTCAGTGAACGAATATGAACAATACGGAGAAATACCTAGAATGGCAGCTTCACATGATTTCTGAGATAACAGTTTTCCTTATGCTTGGGCACAAAACAGTTAAGGGAGGGTGCAGGAAAAGGACACTCAGCTCATCTGCTTCCTCTGCCGCATAACTTTGGAGAGGGCTAATGGACTGAATATCTGCAGGAGGGGGCACGCGACTCCTGCAAGCCCAAGCCCCAGCAAGCCTCTAAGAGGAGAATGCAAGCTTGGGGACAGCCTGGACATGAAGTGAGAAGGAAATAGTATTCGTGAGAAGAGTAATGCACTACAGCCGCCAGTCTGCAGACATACAGCAGATGATGCTCAAACCGTGGAGCCCTGCTGCCTGGACTGAAGAGGCTCTGCAGCTCTGCCCTGCTGCTCTGACAGGTTACTTAGCCTCAAGTGCCTAGGTCTTTGCTTTCAGAGCAGAGTGTGCCCTCACGACCTTGGGAGGATTCACTAAGTCCATTTCCATTAAGCTCTTAAAACAGTGCCTGACCCAGCAATTACATCCTAACTATTATAATACAGCTGTATTTTTAGATCTAATTAACTAATTCTCATACGGCCTCTCTGAGAATGATAAATGACACGCTAAGTTATGGTTGTAAAGAGAATTCAGGGAAAGGTAGTTGCTCGCCCAGGGACAGAATATCATTGCAGGCTTGGGTGGCTGGCTCCGGAGGCCCGGAGAGCACTGCCCGAGCCTGAGCCTAGCATCCCTAAACCGATGCCCTTGGAGTTTGGAAGTCTTGCCTCCATTTCTTTGTCCTTGTTACGCAGGGATGTCTGCAACTGCTGGAGAGCACTCTCTTGTTCCTTCTGCCAGCGGCCACACTTGGTTTCCAGTTCTGTCTTCAGCCACTGGAGGTTTTGACAGGTGGCAGTTAACTGCTCCAGCTCCATGCCTTTGGCCCTCAGGAGACTCTCCATACTCTACAGGGACAGACACAGCAAACATAAGCCAAAGGGGCCTCCCGTACTCTCAGGATAAGAGAATTAGTCCCAGCTTTAACTCACATCCACCTGTCCCTTCTGGTAAGAAAACAGAGTGTCAAAGCAGTATTTTCCTTCAATGTGGTTTATGGAGAGGGAAATACAGAATGTGTGCTACAATAGGACTGTGGGAGGGGAAGTTTCCCCAGGGAAAAAGTGAATGGCCTCTTTAATAACTGACAGACAGTAGCTATACAGGGTCTAAAATAAAGTCTGCAAAAAAACCTAAAAGTATGTGCTAAGAAGCAGTCATATAATACATTGATACCTATATAGAATCAGAGAGAAAAACACAGTATAAAATATATGTGTATCTATATGTCCCACAATGCTCACGGAAAAGCGTATGTGCATCTCCATATGAATAGGTAAGGATGAGAAGTTAGAGCCACGCAAAGAGCACTCACCATGCAGTGCTCCCCTGTAAGTATATAACGTAAAAGAGACTTCAGAGCCTGCTCCCTACTGTTGGAGGAGGGATGAGTAAATGCTACTGGTCTTTGGCTTTGAAACTCTGGGTTTCAGAGAACAATGGAGCGGCTGATGCTCCAGGCCTAGAAAGCGACGAGGGGCTGGGGGAAGAGAGCAAGTTGGATTTGGCTCTTACTTGCATGGTAGTTTCATTGGCGGACAGGACACTACGCAGTCTCTCTAAATCATGGTCTCGCTCTCTCACTGCACGATGAAGCTGCTGCAATTCCTTGTCCTTCTCCTCTAGAGCGGAGAACTTCTCATCGATAGCCCGCTGCAGGGAAAGAAAGGCCTCTAAGTTCCGGGTTCGCTGAACTGGTCTTTAATCAGTTAGATTCCAAAAGGGAAGAACGGAAAGCTGAAAACCCGAGGTTTTTTCATTTAGACACCAGACGCAGGGAGGCCAATCGGCAGTGCCGTGGGGGAACTGGCTGCGTACCTCCAGGTCGGCGGCTCGGTCTTGTATCTGTTGCTGCATTTTCTCAAGCAACATCTCATTTGTTTCCAGAGTTTTGTCTGAGTTATCTCGATACTGCAGGAGTTCCTGAAATTCCTAGCAAGACAAAAGCATTTGCCTTTATTCCTTTACCTCTTAGGTGAATTTCTTCATTTCTTTCCTCAAGAAATTTGTTATTTAGCACACATATACAAAAAACTCAGAGATAACAGATATATAAATTGTTAATGATTCTACAAAAGACAATCAGGCAAGTTAGTCTGCTCATGGAAACACAGGACACACTGCCTGACTCTGCCTAATGGTGTCAGGAAAGATCTCGCAAAAGATTTTGAGCTAGGCCTGGTGGAGCATCCCTGTAATCCCAGAACTCAGGAGGCAGAGGCAGGTGGATTTCTGTAAGTTAGAGGCCAGCCTGGACTACAGAATTTCAGGTCAGCCAGGGCCACATAGTTAGACCCTGTCCTAGAACAAAACAAAAACCAGATATAACACAAAGGTATCTCCCAAAAGAAGATGCGGCATGGACCCAAAGCTTAGAGTAGGTAACTGATTGCATCTCTTAGTGCCCCATTTGTCCCGAAAATTTTCATTCCGTCATTGAACTCTGTGGAAGAGCACATCTTCTGTCGTGTGACTCAGAGGTGTTCTGTCTGCTGAGCCCTGCCTCTGCGGATTACATGTGCACACACAGCTATTGATTTGCTGGGGAGCGTGCCGCTTCATGGATTGTATGTTCTACTCACTGACACACGAGGCCCAGGGCGGGCCTTGAGGCAGGCACATGAGAACTCTAGAAACCTGGCTTCCATCTGAGAACTCACCCGGAGCAGCTGTTCTTTGAGACTCAGGCTTTGATGGAGGTGCTGGATGTTTTGTTCCCGGATTCGAATCTCATTGTATTTTTCCATCTCCAGAGCATGAATCTGTTGGTTCTTATTGTGCAGTTCTCCTTGGAGGTGTTGTAAAGCTTTTCGTAACTCCTGAAATAAACAGGTTCTCTTTAAAAGTAAGCTCCCCTCATGATCATTAGATATGAAGGTCAGAATACTTTCAAGACAAGCAGACCACCTGCCTATAATCCCGAGGCAGAAGGATCTCAAATTGGCAGAAGGGTCTCAAATTCTTTCCTTAGCCCCTCCTAATCACTGCTATTGGAACATAAAGCTGCCTCTTTGGCAGTAATTGCCCCACTGAAATTCTGTCATGTGACTGCTTCTCCTATTAAACTAAATATTTTAAGAGGCAGAGTCTCTGATAGTCACCTTTGTGTCTCCAGGACACAGTCTGCTCACCTGGTACATGACCCAGGGGCAACAAATACCGAACTGAATTAGACAGGCCAATGACTCAAGGGTTCAGGTTCAGCACAAACCGTCCTGCCAGGCAAAGTCAGCACTGGGAGTAATAAACCGGTAAATGATTTACCTGGTTGTGTTTCCAAGAAGCTTCCTTCTGTTGCTCTCTCTCCTGGGCTGCAGCCTCGACAAACTGCATGCATCGCTTGACATCAGCCAGTTGCAGCTCTTTCTGGCGCAGCAGCCTCTGGAGCTTCTGGATTTCAAGCTGGCTGCAGAACAGGGCACTCTGAAGATCAAGCAGGGCCACCTGTTGCTGACTTGGGGCACCGCCCTCTGAGCCCTGAAAAGAGCAGAATCCTAATCACAATCACGAGGAGGAAAAGTTTTGAGTGCCTGAGAGGACTGTGCAACCCGGGGGGCTCCAGCCCTGCCTGCGGCCCTCGGGCCCTCACGTACATGGAGCTGGCCGAGCTGGCTTTGGTGCAGCATTTCTCGAAGCTTTGCCATTGTGCCATTTTGACCTTCGATCACCTGGTACAGCTCCTCAGTCTGAAAACGAGAGAGGGATAGCACCCCCGTGTTAGCAAAGTGCATATAAATTACACTATCGTTCCCGTACAGATGCTAGTAACCGAATCATTCCAAATACCTAAGGGGACCGTTTCCCATGAGAAGGCTTGCTAGTCATACAGGGGTGACCTCTACAAACGAGATGACCTATTTCCCACGGGTCTGTGATCATATAACATTTTACCTCACTTTGCTTGCTTTTTAGTGATTCCTTGAGGCTTTGAATGGTCACGTCTTGCTTCTGGGATGACTCCCGTGTAGATTTTAGCTCATAGCTCATTTCATTCAGTTTCTCTTCAAGAATCTGAATTCAGGAGAAAAAACTCTGTTAGCTCCTTGATGGCTTTTAACCTTGCGGGCCAGCAACCTGTCCTGACCATCTCGGCTTTCGAGAAAGTCTTAGGGCATGCTGTCTTGTTTCCTTCTCATACACAGTGAGCATGAGAGTTTGACAATGAAGGGAGGCACAGATGAACTGCTTCCCTCACTGCCCGAACACCTCAGTGCCATGCACTGCACACTCCCCGTGCTGACAGCCATACTACTCTTTCGGCCCTTCCACAGAACCAAGGAGTGCCTGCGATCTAGCATAGGACGTATTACTATCACAGCACACTACCGCAGGTATTCAGGAGCCCTCTTGGGACAATTGCCTTGCAGGCAGACATTAAAATCTATGCACTATAGAGGAATAAGAAGTTACACTAAAATCAAAAGCACAAGCTTCCGGTCTCAGAGCCTTGCCATGGAGTTAAGGATTACATACATGGTCTAATCTCATTCCTAGATGGCATCAGAAATTGGGGTATGTATGGAACAAGTTAAAACCCCGATAAGAAGCAAAGGGAAGGGCTGAGCAAGCTATGAGGACCTGAGTTTGAACCTAGCAACCACATAAAAAGACAGGCTTAGAAGGTATGTGCTTGTAATCCTAACTCTGAAAAGGTGGAAACAGATGAGTCCCTGAGCTTGCCGGCCAACCAACCTAGACTAATTTTCAAGCCCCAGGTCCCAGAGAAAGACTACATCTCCCAGGTAGCTCAAGGTAGACAGCTCTTGGGGAACAACCCCTGAGACTGACCTCTGGTCCACACACGCGCACATGTGCAACCAAATGCATACCTACTGTATACATGCAACTCACACATACACATACAAACAAGGACATAAAGATACAGTGGACAACTATCCTTTTAAATGAACTATACCCCCTGAGATCTGGGGAAGCCACAGCATTCATTTCTCAAGTCCTACGCAGGATGATGGAGCTGGGCTAGAGCCCTTCTGACCATACCTTGTTGGTGGCCTCTGTTTGCTGGACTTTGTCCCGGAGCTCTTCCAAGCGGGAGTCAGACACAGATTTCTCAGTAACAGGCTGGGTTACTGCGGTCCCATCTGAGTCCAGCTTTTGTTGTTTAGGTAACTTTACAGGATGGGGCTAGGAGGCAGCAGGGAGACAAGCACACTGAGTGAATGCGGTCAATAACCCATTCGATTTTCACATTCAAACTGGGCCTCCTTTTTCTGAGAGCACTCTTAGCCAGCAGCAGGATTGTCTTCGGCAAGTCACCTGGTGATCTGTGCAGCAGCTATGGCTTCCAGGCATCTGAAACTGCCATCCCTACTAGGCTCCTTGTTGTTCCCACTCTGCCCATTCTCAAAGACACTGCTTGGCCGGAGAAGGCAAACAATGCAGAATTGAAAGAAAGGGGGCACTTAAAAATGGACAGGGTTATGACAATCAAATATTTGCTTTAACCAGGAAATTAACATAGGCATCGAAGGGTCAAAGTTATATTCCAATTACCTACCCTATAAGAAGCCTGTTTTCACTGTTAGAAAATGTGAAACCCTTTTAAAATATGGGCCATACAATAGGAAACAGCATTTCTGGCCACCAAATCTCCTTCATCTACAGCTGATAAGAGACATCCTTGTCCTTAAGAAATACATGTGAGAATATCTACAGTAAATGGAAAAATCTATAACTATTAAAAATTCTCGCTTGCAAAGCAAAATGTGGAAAAACAGCAGTTAAATCCAGGTCTCTATAAATCAAAGTCATTAAAAATGAAGGGGGAAAATAAAGATAACAACATAACCATAACAGTCTGGAAGGACATGTACTTTCTAAGAATCCATCAAACTCTACCTGAAGATCACGATGAGCTAAAATACTGGATACCTAAGGAATTCATGGCATTAAATCCTTCCTTCCCCGGCGGCCCCTTTCTCATCAGAGGAAAGAAAGAACTGCTATCTTTCCGTTACACCTTTAAACTTTCCCACCCTCCAGGGCCTGGGGTTACAGCTGACTTTAAGTATCTTCCTGCGAGGGCCTAAGCAGAGGAAGTCAGGTATTTTCTGGAAGTCTGGTATTTTCTGTTTCTGCAAGGCAGCTTGTTACATTTCTAACAGTATAAAACACAGAGCACTGTGTGAGGTTCAGTGCCAAGTACAATTCAGGCAAATGTTTCTCATTCTCGGGCCCAACAGTCTTGGCCTACTGAGGTAGCGGTCACAGTAGAAGACTATTTTTTGACAGGGCATATAGAAAGGGTTCTTGGCAGAGACGAAGCTTATCTAGACCTGAAAAGGATGAGATGCTGGCAGGGCTATGGAGTAAGGAAGGCTCTTACCGGTACATGGGAGGAATGGGTAGGGCCAATGAATACAAAAATCAACTTCTCGTTACTTTTCTAAGCAGAGGGATCCTACAACTGGCCGCTCACATCAAATCAGCAGGGTTTTTTGTTTGTTTGTTTGTTTGTTTGTTTGAGAGGATCTCATAACCCAGTCTGGCCTCAAACTCACAACTTTGCTTCAGCTTCTCAACTGCTAAGATTACAAGCCTACAGCACTGCACCCAGCTTTAAAAGGGTGCAATTAATTCTGTCAGGAAAAACAGGTACAAATAAGGATGTTTTATTACCTTACTTATAAACCCACAGCTATTTCTGAACAGCTCATTAAAAGACTATTTTATTCCCACTAAATGAACTGATAAAACACAATCTTAAAATCCTAAATGGTGAGATGGTCAAAGAGGTATTAAGACATAGTCTCAAACATAAAAACGTGGCAGGTAATAAAAACAACCTGAACGTTGACGGAATGACTCATAAAACAGTTCAGACTCCTGAGAAGGTTCTCTAGAAGCTGGACTTCAACGCTTGCTTTGACCAGAAATGGGAGTGAAATGGGCCCATTTGCCCTGGTTGCCTTAGTACAGCACATTAACTTCATCCACTCTGTCAACACACATCTGTTGAGCACTAAGAAGCAGAGGCCATGTTGGAGGGAAAACACCTAGGTTGTGCAGCTCTGTCCCCAGTCCAGAATGCAGTGCTTTCTAATAGAAAAGCAATCATATTTACATGTTTAAAAGCTTGTCAGCTGCTCAGTGGGGATGGACGGTTAGGAAGGCCCAGCAGAAAGAAAGATCAGCCAGAATGTAGGTGAAAGGTGATTGGATTATAAAGACTGCAGCAGAAGAGAGAAGTGGATGGCTCTGGTAAGGTTAATGTGCTGTTGTTCCAGACAACTGGGGGCGGAAGAAGAAGCAAGGATGACGGCTCCCAGAAATACTTGAGATACTTGCTGTGACTACAAGATGCCTCCCCTGAAGCAATATGAATTATGTCATCTACATACCACAAGAGATGACTGTAATAGATACTGAAAATTCTAACGGACACAAAATGTTGCCTCTATAAGACCTGGCTTATTGTTTCCCCAGTGAAAAAGAACTCTCCAGTAATGTCCACCACAACCCTGAAATCTCAACCGTAGCAAGCAGAATGGAAGAAACTAAGTGTAACTACAGTCCAGCTGGTATGTTTACCTAGCCTGCACAAGACCTCAGCTCAATGCCTAAATCTCTAGTGTAGCAGGGAATAGTTTCAATATTAAAAATGGGAGGAAGGCAGTCCTGTTTATCCACTTTAAATCAGAGAGCTTAGGGCTCTGAAGGAAGCAATAAACTAACCAGCCACTCCATCCCACTTTCCATACAAGGAAAGCCACATAAGGTAGGCTAAGATATCCAAGTGACCAAAAAGACCAAGAAGTGTCCGGGGGAAACTAAATTACAGTTGGTGACGCAGCTTTTATTACTGTGAAGTCCTTTCTCACCACACCGGCAGGATCATTTTAGGGATCGAAGGTTTGTGCTTGATGAATAAGACCAATAAGAACAAAGCCAAACTAAAACAGGCCTGTCTCCTACTCCCCGGGCAATGTTCTGATCCTTCAACAGCCCTCTTAAAAGCAAGATCATTTTATCTATACGTTCTTATTTATATTCACATAAATGTGGTTTCTATGCCTCTGTGTACATAAACACAAGGATATAGGAGCAGCAGCTTTGAAGTGGAAGATTGCCACAGGCAAGGAATCTGCCTCTCCTGTGAACCGTCTCAGCCTGAATCACAGGAAACTTCTGATTCTGTACATGACTTATTTAAAACATGGAAGGTTTTGTTTCTTTCTTCATAATTTATTCTTTGACAGAATTTTTTTTTTAAAAAAAAAGCCTTTTCAGAGAAGCCCAAAGGGCATTTAGTAAATTTCTCTGAGTCAGGAATGTATACCAAGTTCTTATGAAGTACCAAGTACATAAACTTACGGGTCCTGAGAAGATTCTACAAAGTCCGATGTCAGTGATCCTCAGTTGAGTAGCATTAGGGTCACTCCCAGATACTTGGCTTCTAAGACCATGACCTAACCACACTGTCCTTCCAAATTAATCACTTTCAAGTTAGAGTTAGTAGGCATGCTTTACTGACCTGATAAAGGAGAGCGATGTCCAGGCCTAGTGTACACAACATCAGGCTAAAGCAGTTGTTCTTACCTCTGCATGAGCAGCATTCTTTTCTGGCATGTTCTAATCCTAATAGTCTCAGACCTCAAACTGCTCTAATTTTCTATCCTACTGTTAATCATCAAAGGCAAACAAGAACCAACAGCTAGTGTAAAATCAAAGGCCTAAGCTTTGACTAGGGTCTGATGTCTCTATTTCCCAAAGGTGCAAATGGGACAAATTCACAATTGTCCCAAAGGAGCAGACGCTGACATTGTCAGGCTTGAAGCAAAGGTGTGCTCACTTTGAATGTGGGCAGAAAAGAGCCTGTAAGTGGCTCAGAGCTCTGTGAATTGCTGTTTACTAAGGGACCACACCCCCTCAGCATAGCTTTTCTACTTCAGGGCCAGACAATAAAGAAGGAAATTACTACCCAGAACAAGTCAAACCTTTCTGCAGATTATCTGAAGAGCCTGTGCTCACAGAAGGCAAATAAATGATTTGCATAGTATCAGTAAGCAAGAGAAATATACTGTTGCTGCTTATCTTAATCCAAGGAAGGAGATGTAGGGTGGGGGTGGCAGGGAAGCAGAGTCATCAGGAAGAGCTTTCAAACTGACAGTTAATACACATACAAAGGGTTAAGTGGGGGATTAAAACAGAAGAATCAAAATGACTAAGCAGAAGGCACTCCAGGTTTCCTTCCTATGGTAGAAAAAAAGTTTGCTTTCCAGGTTCTTACATCTACAAAGCAAAAAGAAAACTAACAAAAATATTTTAGTCTTCCTACATGTGCTCAGAGAAACAGTTAAAAGCCCATCTGTCCTTGTCCCACCTGGCTTTTTTCTACCCTACAGCACAATAGCCCTTAAGAAGATTAAAAGTCAATTAGACTTAATCAATAGATCAAAGGGCTAGAATAAAATACATATTTTGTTTACAAACACATTGAGCTCGTGGTAACTATTTCGCCTTACATCTTTACTAATTAGAGAAAATACAGTCATGAAACACTCTTTCTTGAAGCTCAATGCCTTTTTCTCACCTCCCACTGTCTTATTCTCCATATAGCACAGAATAAGGTCCTGATACAAGAGGAAGGTCATATCCCACTAGTTTAAAGCTCTGACATCCACAGTTCCTGTGATAAAGGGGTCTGATCTAAGGTTACAATTACCATGGTTTCCACACTCATCCAGTTTTCTTTACAGAAACCTCCTCCCTGGATCCCCATGGAATCCTTGGGGTGTGGAAAGCAGGTTCTTGGTTTAAAACAGGTTAAGTTGATGTGATTCAGACAATGTAATTAAATATACAGAATTAAAAAGTCCTGCTGAAAACGGTGAGGGATCTTTGGCTCTGCCAGGGCTCTTACTTAAACAATAGCTTCTCAACGTTCCTAACTGAGGGATGCTCTTGAAAATCCTCCCCAATTCCAAAATTGGCTAAGTCCAGGCAAAATACCAAAAAAAAAAAAGGTATTTTTCAATTAAATATCTAGTAAACATATTTTTGTTTTCCATGGAATCCTTCAGGTGTTCGACTTGCTGTAGTATTGGCCATTGCTGAGAGACAAAAACAACTTATTTCCCCATCGTGACCAGCTTATTTTCAAGATCTGAATATGAGAATACCATGTTTAATTTGTAGCATCTATGTCTGGTCACAGAAATACTGTTTGGGTCAAACAGAAATGAGGTTTCATTAAAGAAAAAAAAAAGGAAGCGCCCAGGTGCTAGGCATGTAATGATTAACACTTGACACAAAGGAAGGCATTGTTCTCCATAATTTTTAAAACATTTTTATGCTTTCAGCTAAAGTTTTTATTAGTATACAAATTTCACATGCTGCCTAACTATGCCTCAAAAATCCCATTTAAATGGAATCTCAACTTCACTCACTCCCAGGCTGGAAGTTTCTGAACCCTGCTGACTGAGGACCAAGTTTCCCAGTGACTCCGAGATGGTCCACCTTTGCCAATATGCAAAGGATGCTTAACAAAGTTAATTGAATCTAGCATTTAGTGTTGCTATGGAAACAAAGTAGCACCTATCAGTCCCTGTAAATAGCTGGATTTAAAAGGGCGGTCTGAAATCAGTCAAGCGGACATGAAGAGCTCAAATTAAGTTCAACTGTCATTCTCCACTCATTAAGAAAGTCAAGAACAGGGTGAGCGGATCCCTTTCTTACTAACAGCTATCTTCCAGTAGGGGGCGGTAGAAAAGCCGCCTGAGCACTTTTCACTTGAACCTTGTAACTGACATTTGCCTTCCCAAAGATCTTGCATGAACAAGTCACCATTAACTCTCAAATGACTGTTAATCATAGCAAACACTGCCCAGATGTTCTTTTGACAGATCAATAGGCTTAACCCCCATGCGCTAACCATTTGAGGCACCTGGGTGATGAAAAGCTTAACAGGAGAAGCGGCCAGGAAACCTAACTCTCTTACAGAAGACAATGGAAGATGCCATCCACAAATCTAGAGAATGGCAGAAGTCAAGGGGAGGGGGAGATTGGGGTGCCAAAGGAGAGACAGGATGTCTTCTTTCTGCAAGGAAAAGAATCTTTCTCTTTTGGTACGTGAAAGAGATGCAGTTTTTAACAATAGAAAAACCAACAGATAATGTTCAAAAAGTTGATGAAAAAGCAACTTATCTAAGTGTAAACCACGTTTACTAAATGGGCATGAGCAAAAAGTACAGCCAAAATGGGCTTAATGATTAGTTTTTTCGAGCCTAGACATTATTCTCCTGAAGCTAATCACGCCATGAGAAGTCTATGCGTGGCTCGTCAGGAGGGCGCCACAGGCAGCAGTCGGTGTGTATACCTGGATTTGGAGCGGCAAATACTCTTCATAGAGATCATCCCACAGCTCCAGTAGGTCCGAGAACTCCAAGGAGTAACTCACAGGTGTCAAGGGCCTGTTAAGGAAACTGGAACTAACTCCATTTGTCATGATATGGCCAGGCTTGGCTCCAAGTGGGCTGGATTTCACTGGAATTGGAAGCTTGCTCCCTCGGGGACTCTGAAGGGGCTTATATTCAAGACCTTTAATCATGCTGAGAGCCAGCTCCAGTTTGTGGTTACAGAAATGCTGCGGAGCCTGTTCATCCGAACAATAGTTACACTTTAGGAGTTCCTTCGCACTTCTCTCCGCTTCCTCGTCCTTCTGTTGTGGAGGACTAGCCTGGACACTAGCATCCAAAGATTCCACAGAGGAGCCCGGGGTCCCCTCCTCCATGCTTTCCCCATCCGGGGCTACTTTTGTGCTTGGTAAGTCTGGCGGCCCAACCTCTGACAATGCCGGTTCTTCGGTGCAAATGCTCGTAGAGCACCTGCTAGAGAGGGCGTAAGAAATACTTCTGGCCACTTTCCGAGGTATCTTACAAATGGCTTCATAGTCAGAATCCGCAACCCGCAACGCTGCACAACCACGGCATCTCCTGGGTCGGTTTCCGGGGCCTTCAGAACCATGACAGCTGTGGGGCTCCTGAATCTGATCCTCATTTTCTACCCAGCACTCAAACCCTGAATAGGCGAAGTCTTCCTGGAGCAGCGCAGAGTACCTCATATCTGGTAAGTTGGAAATGTCAACCGTCCCACTTCCCGCCTTGATCTCCTCGCCAGAGTCGTCGTTATTATTCTTCCGATACATACTGGCGATGCAGAACTTGAGGCGATCCTTTTCCAGCAGCAGTTTCTGCAAGCGCTCAAGAGAAAGGGCTTCGATCCTGGCGATAACAGTATCGAATCGATATATGCGATCGAGCATGAAAGCACACTTGCTGCAAGCAAACTCGGCTTTGCCATCACGAGTGACATCTTTGCCTAGGACGTACGAAAGCAGAACCTGGAGGTTGAGCTTGGACGCGGTATGGAAGATCCAACGCCGCTGGTTTCCACACAGCTCCCGGGCACAGATCCTGCAAATCTCTTTCATCTTTAACTCCGGGAGGGTGCCGAGCTTCTTCTCTGTAACGGTCACAGCGGTGGGCTGCTCACCGGTTCTGGGACGCGTTCCTCTTCCCACCTTGATCGTCTGGGGCTGGCATGGCCCTGCCCGGGGTCCTCACTGGGTAGGGGCGCTCTGAGGTGCGCGCAGGCTCTGGGTACCACACAGCCAGCCCCGCCCCTCGGGCAGGGGGCGGGCACAGAACGCCGAGGAAGGGGGGATGCTGAGTGACAGGGTGCGAGCTGAGCGCGGACGCTGCCAAGGCCCCTCCAGCTGCCTCTGCCGCGGGCAGCCGTGTCCTCTACGTCCTCCCAGGCGGGCAAGGCTGGGCTCCCGGACAGCAGTGGCGGCTCAGGGCTGACGCAAAGCCCGGGCGATGAGGCATCAGATTTCAAGATGGCGCCGGGGTAGGCGGCCTCCGCGTGACTCCTCTGGGAGTTGTAGTCCGACCATTGTGGCTCCGCGCATGCGGGCGGGCGAGCACATTGTCTCCGCCCTCATTCCAGTTTCTCCCGCTGTCCCGGTAACGCCAACTACGCGCAGAGCTGAGCGTGGAAAGCCAGGTACCTGGCCAGTGCCGGGATGCTTTACTCTGATAAGATCTCACCGAAAGCACGCCCTGTCCCTTCAAGGAATCTCCCTCCTCTGCTGGGTGCCTTGAGGCTCCTCCCAGGGAGGAGAAAACCCAGTCCCCTCCCTGTCCGTCCATAACCAGTGCCACGTACGCTGTGGATGTGGCCAGGCGGTGCCACTGGGTACCGCTGCGCCGCCGCCTTCGGCCGCCACCCCACCTCCTCTCCTAATTCTGTCTGGCTCTGGGGTCAGAAGGACCCGGGCGGCAGAGATGGGTGGGGAGGGCCTGATAACTAGAGGAGGCAGGGGCAGGTACAGCGAGTTTGCCCAGGCCAAGCTAAGGTTGAACCTTTCCTACTATTGGATGGATTTAAAAAAGGAGACTTGGGTTTCTCCCATCGGTGTAGGGGGAGGGCTAGCAAGCCTAGGTGTTTTGTCCTTTTATGTGGGGGGAGGGGAGGACGGCACACAAGGCAAGCACCAGAGAAGAGAGTCCTGCCAACTCCGGGTGACGGCAACTGCTAATCACGATTTTAAAGATAACGAGAAAGCTTTGCTTGAGGCCTCCTGAGAGGACATGATCATGAATTTTCTTTCTGGTTCTGGTAGACTGTTTTTTTTTCGAAATGGGGAAGGGAGACAGACGCTTCTTTGGAAATGTTTTCAGTTCAAGTACTTCAGAATTAGGGCTGGAAATTCATTGGCGTCGTTAGTACCTGGTTTTCCTACGTCACAGTTACTGTGTACTGAACCTCACACTCCAGGAACCTAGAGCACCGACTGGATGGGTTGCAGGTAACACAAACTGTTGAGGGTGAGAATTCACTTCCTGGCTTTTGAGGCAAACAGCAGAGGAGGAATCCTATCCCCAGCGATCGCTTGAACTAACGATTTTTAAATTCTAGTATTGTGAGACCGGGGCTATTATAATTATTTTAGTTACATAAACAAAATCCTGGAGCTTTGTCTGCAGCATACCTTTGCATATATGATGCCATCTGCACACACGTATTCTGATCCTCTAGTCAAGACCAGGAAATGGGATTCCATGGAAGCAGCTGCAGTTTTGAATCCTCTAGGCATGTGAGCTTGGACGTCATAAGAAACAGTCATGGGGCTGGAGAGATGACTCAGTGGTTAAGAGCATATGACTGTTCTTCCAGAGGACCTGGGTTCAATTCCCAGCACCCACATGGCAGCTCACAACTGTCTGTAACTCCAAGATCAGACAAATATGCAGGCAAAACACCCGTGGCACCATAAAATAAAAATAAATAAATTTGGGGGAAAAAAAAAAAGAAAGAAACTGAGCCACAATCTGAAATCTACAAGAGTAACTGGACTCACTCTGACTGATGGACAGACAGAGAGTGCTCTACCCCCTCCTAGAGAAAATACTCTAAATTTACATTGAAAAATAGTGGGTGAGCTCTTAGGCCAGAGCTAGCCCTAACATGATCATTGGTGTTTAAAGTCATATGGTGAAAAGGTAATGTTGTGCAGATAACAAAACTTGAAGCTTAAAGTTTAAAAATAAAACATTGCAATAAATTTAGCCTATTATGATCCTTATCGTCATCTTTGTCGCAATTGGTAGTTAACAGTGGCTCCTTGGAAGGAAGCAAAGTAGATGGAAGGAACGAAATGAAGGCATTATTCTATAGACCATGAATCGTTTGAATTTAGACCAATGAATATTCAACTATCGCCTTTAATTTTAATTCAAGTATTGCTTTTAATTTGATATTTCATTAAATATTTTAAGACTTTTTTAGCTTAAAAAACCGTATGTGAATGAATGTTTTGCCTGTATGTATATGCATGTATGTATATGAACCATGTATGTGCCTGGTGCACATACATGCAGGCAGGCAGGTTCAGAAGATGGGGTCAGTTTCCCTGGAGCTACAGTTCCACATGGTTATGAGCCATTTGGGTGCTGGGAACTCAGTTCACATCCTTGGCAAGAGCTACAAGTACTCATAACAGCTGGGTCATCTCTCCGCCCTAATTTTAAATTTTTAAATTTAGAAAAGATCCCATAGGTGAAGCCAAAGGCTATGCCAATTTAACATACCAGGTGCTACTTAGATCTAGGCCATAAGAAGTTCCCTTGAAACTGAAGGGAAATACTTGTAACATGCATGATATACATAGGGCAGCTCAATATAGACAAAGGTTCAAATAGGTAAATACAAGCTAATAATGGTGTATCTGGGGGCTGAAAATGAATACTTAGATTCCTTTCCCCTCATTTGTATTCTATAATTTTTCATAATAAATTTACAACACTCTGAGATAAGAAAAAAATAGTTTCTTAAAAACAAGGCAGGGTGCCAGGTTGGGGACACATACATTTAATCCCAGCACTTGGAAAGCAGATCTCTGTGAGCTTGAGTCTACATTTCAAGTTCCAGACCAGCTAGGGCTACATGGTGAGACCCTATCTAGAACAAGACAGGATGAGCATGTTCTTGCGTGTTTGTACAATGCAACACTACCCACCCATGAAAAAGAATGGGCTCTGATGTGTACTCCATGCGTGGATCCCAAAAACTGGTAATGAAAATGTCACATACAAATGAAACATGTTGTATGATTCATTTGAAGAAAAAATAAAGGAAAAATACATTTATTATGATAGAAGTTAGGAATGGTTTCAGGATGAGAGAATGAAAATTAATTTCAAAGGACAGTGGGCTGGCTAGTGTTATGTGAACTTTGAATAATCTAGAGTTATCAGAGAAGAAGGATCCTAAATTGAGAAAATGCCTCCATAAAATCTGGCTGTAGGCAAACCTCAGGGCATTTTCTTAACTAGTGATTGGTTTGTGAGGGCCCAGCCCATTGTGGGCGGAGCCAGTAGGTGCTTTAGGAAAGCAGGTTGAGCAAGTCATGGGAGCAAGTCAGTAAGCAGCAGCCCTCCTCGGCCTCTGCATCAGCTCCTGCCTCCAGGTTCCTGTCCTTAGAGATCCTGTCCTGACTTCCTTCAATGATCAACAGTGATGTTGATAAACCTTTTCCTCCCCAGTTTGCTTTTGGTCATGGTGTTTCATCACAGCAATAGTAACCCTAAGACAGAAGACAAAGACATTTTCTGGGGCGGTAAAGATTTTCTCTGTCGTGTCTTGAATGATGGATACATGGCTTTGTGCAGCTTCCAACGCTCCAGAAACTGAGCACTTAGAATTGTAGATCTGATGTTAGCATATGGTAGTAAAATGAATATGTAGATATGCACTAACTAAATGCTTTTAGCAGAAAACAGTCCCCACTTGAGCACAGAATAGCTTTGAAAACCAGGGAGATAAAACACACACAGTCTGGAAGACAGTCTATAAATGGCCCAATTGTAAATGCAAAAAAGCCTAGTCGTGTTTAATATGAACTTGAGAAGCCACAGCTTCCTACATGGGTGTCCCATACATTTAAGACTGAAGCAGTGTATGTGGTTAAGGTGAGATTGAGATTTTTTTGATGATTTAATATTGGATGATTTCTTCTAAAACTTACTGAATGCACATAATAGAAAATTTGAGAATGGGTTTCATAGGGAGTTGTCACTGGGCTATATCAGTAGTTCCTCCTAAAGATAATGGAATGATAACAAAGTGGGTGTGGAAGCTCCTGATAACGATCCTAGCTGGGGGGAGGGGGGGATGTGCGGGCGAGAGGGCGAGGAATTCAAGATAATCCTCAGGTACCTAGTGAGTTGGAGGCTAGCCTTGACTACCTTAAGATCGTATCTCCAATAAAGAAAGGAAGGAAGAAAAGAAACAATAAAAATGGCTGATGGGCACGTTCACTGCACATGGTAACTTAGGAGTCAGTCACTCCTTAGGTGGCTAATGTTAGGTTAGGTCACTCACACCTGGTCCTTAGATTCCTAATAGGCAATATGAAGTTTTAAAAGACACCAGTTTTCAGATTTTAGTATCCCTCAGAGTGAGGTGTGGTGGGGCTATTAAAATACACATCACTTGCTTGGACCCCCTCACAAATTCCCCAGTCTCGCTGATACTGCTCTCTGAGAGCTTTCTTTGAACTGCTAAGCTGGGTTCAGAAAAGCCTCAGTAAGAATATCAGAAGTTCCACAGAGCTGGAGAAATGGCTCCGTGTTAAGAGCCTGCACTGCTCTCGGAGAGGACCCAGGTTCAGTTCCCAGCCACCCACATGGCGACTCACAGCCTTCTGTAATTTCAGTGCTTTCTTCTGATCTCCATGGGTACTGCACACACATGGTACATGTACATACATGCAGGCAAAATTTGCATACACATAAAAATAAAATAATTTTTGAAAGAGAAAAAGGCCAGAAGGTTAGATGAAAAGTTAAATGAAAAAAATCTATCAAAGAACTACTCACAAAATTAATGTTGAATTTAAAAAATGATACCGTAGTTGGGAATGGTGGCTCATGCCAACATATTATCCAAGCACTCTTGAGGTTGGGGCAGGAAGATGACATTGGCACTGTCAGGGCTAGCCTGTGCTTACATTGTGAGTTCTATGTCAGTCTAGGCTATAGGAGGCAACCCTGTCACAAAAAATTAGAAAGACAAGAAAAAAATGGAAGGAGGGAGAAGTATATTCCCATTGTGCTGGACAAGTATTACTAGGGTAGCCTTTTGTCTGATTTGTTTTGCTGTTGGTACCATCCCTGTTTAGGTCTGAGAAATTTCTCTTGGAACCACCATCACTTTTGTATCCACTGTATGGCAATAAAGCTGCTTCTAACATCTAATTTTGGCTTGGGAGGGAGTTTCCAAAGGAATGAGAGGTGGGAAACGCCCATGTTCCAAACCAGCTGTACTGGGTTCCACTGCCCTAACTATTCTAATTAATTAAAGTTCTTCTCCACTGCAAAAATGATTCAGGCATATAAGATGAAACAACAGAAAGAGGAAGAAGTTGAAGAAGAGGAGGAGGAGGAAGAGGAGGAGGAGGAGGAAGAGAATGTCCAAGTAAAGTCATTTAGACTTAACGGTAACACACAAACTAG